TCTCGCCCACACGACAACGCCACAAAGTCGGGGAGTGGGGTCGTCATTCCCCCCGTGAAATTCTAAGCCTCTCAGATGGGTCCCGCGTGAGCGGGGCCGACGGATCGCGCCGCATCGTGCATCGGCGATGTGGCCAGCGCGGCTGGATGTGGAGTCCGATGTGTTCCACACCAACGTCGCCGATGCATCGCTGACGTGGCCGATGCACCAGCCATGCAGCGCGATTATCCGACCCCATCTACAGTAGGTTCGCGTCGTGTCGACCGGCGGCGACCAAGCCGCCTGCGTTCAAAGTTGAACTCCGCGGGCGACCCAGAACCGATCGATGTTGAACGATCCGACGTTTCGGTCACCGCCGATCGGTCTAGGTTGAACGTTATCCTCGGTTTAGGGGAACCGACGCCCAGGTCGTCACGACACGAACCTGCCATACTCGGACCCCAGTTGGAAGGCCTCTAAAAAGTTCCAGGCCTCCAGCACCAGCACTGCCCCGCCTTTCGTGCCATCCGTCCAGCGGCCCACTCGGCCCGCTCGACGACTCCACAGGGTCGGGGATTGGACTCGCCATGCCCCTGGCACCAGCGCGGCCTCGCCTTTTAGTGCCTTCCGTCCCGATGCCCACTCGGCCCACTCGAAAACTCCACAGGGTCCAGGATGGGGGTCGCAATGCCCCCTTTGTATAGCTATGCCCCCAGCATGGCCTCTGCGTTCTCGCCGGCGAGCCCAGGGAGAAGGAGGGGGCAGCGAAGAACGAGGAGGGAGGAGGGAGGAGGGAGAAGGAGGAGGAGGAGGAGGAGGAAGAGGAGGAGGAGGAGGGGGAGGAGGGAGGAGGGAGGAGGGGAAGGAAGTAACGAGGAGGGAGGAGAAGGAGATGGAAGGAGAAGAAGAAGAAGAAGGAGGAGGAGGAGGAGGAGAAGGACGAAGACCAGAGTAAGCCCAATATACATCAGCGATGCTGCCATACACGTTCCGGTCCCAAGGCTCATCCTGATAAGTCTTCATAAGCTGTCCTCCTTACTACAGGAAGCGCCCTCTTGGAAAGACTAGCGCAGTTGGGCCCGCGATGTTGGTGAGGGCCCTGCTCTGGAAAGGAGCTGCCTTGCATCCTTCTGGCGCGTGATCAGAAGTACAAAAGTTATAATCCTCATACAGTTCATTGAGGAGCCCAAGGAGGTACACAGCCCCCACGCCCGTGTATCTGCTGCACACTTTTGCATGTGTGGTCATGAGTTTCGAGGATGTCTCACCAAGAGCTCTATTTTGGAACAAGAGCCGGTGTCCAGGTCGGTGCAAGCTACATGCGTTGAAATTCGAGGTCTTAATAGATCAATGTAGCCTATATCTTGAACCCCATTTTAACGAAGAGCAGCCCTCCATCCTCATGATTTCTGCAGTGAGAAAGCGAATGCGCGTTATGCTAAGGCGAGGGCACCATTTTGACAACGACCTATGCCAAGACTCGCATCTGTTGCACAAGTGTTAGAGAGAATCTGCGCGGCGCCAAGGCGAGTCCACTTTAAGAAGGAGCTGCCCTTCATCCTTCAAGCTGTTGCGACACTGTAGAAAGAATGTGCACGGCGCCGGGGCGAGAGCAGAAGTTGGAGAACGTTCTCCATTCCATCCCTGAGCTAAGACTGTGCGCGGCGCTAAGGCGAGAGCCACATTTCGTCAAGGAGCCGCCCCCTCCCTCGCATCCTTACAATTCTTCACGCTTAGCGCATCCCCACCAGCCTCTGACGGCGCGCGACTGACCGCGTCGCTCGCGAGCAAAAAGTATCCCCACCAGCCCATTCAGAAGCCCTGCTCATGAGAGCTGACGGGAAAAGGGACGAAGAGCCACATCTAGGGAAACAAAACGAGCAACCAGGGTGAACCGAAAGATCTTGGGAGCAAGGGGATGGCCTTGGAAGGCCTCTTCGGGCCATCCCTGGGGGCCGCGTGGGGGCGAGGGGGAGAGGAGGAGGTGGAGGAGCAGGAGGAGGATAAGGACGAGGAGGAATAGAAGGAAGAGGACGCGGATGAGGACGAAGACGAGGAGGACGAGGACTAGGCTGCTGCTGCTGCTGGTGCTCTCTGGGAGTTTTGGGGGGGCCCTTTTGGAACCCTCTTAGTAACCCTGGAATGCTTCTTGGGATCTTCTTGGAGGCCAACGATTACAGGATGGGGGGGTCTCCAACTCAGCTCCCCCTCAGGAGCCGGCAACCCGCTTCTTCGGGCTCTCTTGGAGCGCTCGTGGGCGCTCTTGGAGCGGTCTTGGGATTGTTTGGAGCATCTTGGGAGTCATCTTGAGCCAGCTTGGGCTATCTGAGCCATCTTGGAAGTCATCTTGGGCTCTCTGAGGCCGCTCGGGGGCCTCTTGGGGGCCTCTCGGGTGCCCCTTGGGACCCTCTTGGGACCCTCTTGGAGCCCTCTTGGGGCTCTCTTGGGGCTCTCTTGGGAGCCCTGGAGCGTCTCTTGGGGCCATCTTCGAGGCTATCGATTAAAAGAGGGGGCTCCCTTATCTAGCTCCCCCCCTAAGAGCCATCAACATCGCTTTGGGGGGCGCTCTTGGGCCCTCTTGGGGCGATCTTGGGCGGTCTTGGGGCCGTCTTGGAAGCCTCCTGGGCCCCTCTTGGAGCTCTCTTGGGCCTTCTTGGGGCCATCTTGAGGCCTCAAGAGCGCATTGGAAGCGAAAAGGCGAGAAGGCCCAAGTCATTGATTTTCCGTAGGGTTTTGAAGGATTTCGGCTTCTCGGGGGGGGGGGTCCTGACGGGTGTCCAAAAGCTTTTGGATCCGTCTTGTGGGTCTCTTGGGGCCCCTTGGAGGCATGTTGATAGCTATGTTGAGCCATGTTGGGCTATCTTGAGCGATCTTGGAGGCCATCTTGGAGCATCGGAGGCCCTCCTGGAGCCATCTTGGGCCACCTTGGGCGCTCCAACCCCTCGCGGACCCCCCCCCGTCCAGGTCCAGGGGAGGGGGCAGGGGGAGGGGTAAACCCATCCCCGAATGGGAAGAGGGGATTTTGGAAGAGGAAAGAAATAATATCGTTAGATCACCTACGCCCAGAGGGCTGGTGGGATTTTACGCAGCGGCGCAGCGTCCCCGCGCGCCGATCGTCGCACCAGGGAGAGTTCTGAGAGCCACTTGTGGTTGGCCAGAGATGTTCTTGGAACATTTCTGGCTGAGACCGTTTTGGTTCAATACGTCGGCTTAACTGTCTGAGAACATTGCTTTGTTTTCAGAACGTGTCTGTTCTATGACAAGTTCGTGGTAGGCCTATGAAAACGCCAGGACGGTCGGCTCCTGCTCAACAATTGCCTCAAACTTTGCAGACGGATGCGCGCGGAGCTAAGGCGAGACACATTTAAAAAACGACCCCTTCTCCATTCGTGAAACTGTTGCACACGTTTGCGACGAATGTGCGAGGCGATACGGCGAGAGCCACATGTTGAAAACCACCACGCTTCCATCGGAGACGAATATGCGCGGTGCTGAGGACAGAGCCACAGCTTGAAAACCACCACCCGTCCACCCTTGCAACGGTTGCAACATTTGAAGGCCAATGTGCGTGGCGCGAAGGCGAGGTTCACATTATGACCCCCCCATCTTTGAAGCTGCTGCGGATCTGCAAACCTCAGGGCTTACTCTCGGTGAGGAGGTCTCCGGAGAAACGCCCAGCCCGCCCTACCACCGAGACGCCCAGGGGTGCCACAGGGAGGAGTTGTGGTTGTTAAGGACATTGCTGGAGGCGCGAGGCGCGAGGCGCGACGGCGCGATGCCAACCTTACCTCGCGCGCCTTCGCGGCGCGCCGAGTGCGGTGAGCTGGGCGGCTGGGGCCCCCCGACAGCGGGTGTCAGCACCTTCCCCTCCTGGCACGCGCGGGGTCGCATGCCGAGGATCCGGCAGGCGCTCGCGGGGCCAAGACAAGCGGGTCCGCCTCCGGCGGCGGCAGCGGCGGCGGCGGCGGTGCTGGAAGAGGGAGGGGTAAAGAGAGGAGGGAGGGTGAGGAGGATGAGGAGGGGGGGAAGGAGGGGGGAGGGAGGAGGAGGGGGAAGAGGAGGAGGAGGAGGAGGAGAAGGAGGAGGAGGAGGACGAGGAGGAGGAGGAGGGGGGGAGAGAGGGAGGGAGGGAGGGAGGAGGGAGGGTAAGGAGGATGAGGAGGGGGGGAGGGAGGAGGAGAGGGAGGGAGGGTGGGGGAGGGAGAGGAGGAGGGGGGAGGGAGGGAGGGAGGGAGGAGGGAGGGAGGAGGGAGGGAGGGAGGGAAGGAGGGAGGAGGAGGAGGAGGGAGGAGGAGGAGGAGGGAGGAGGAGGAGGAGGAGGAGGAGGGAGAAGGAGGTTGAGGAGCAGGACAGATGGTAGAGGGTGGAAGACACAGGAGGCGGTGGAGGGCCAGCGGCGCACAGGTTCTGGTGTCGCGAGGCGGGGCGCAGCCCTCCATCAAAGGGGCGGGCGGGGGGGGGGGATTCCTGGAGGCCCGGCCAGCCTCTGGGATTCGGACCGCGCCCCTGCCCCCGTGCGGGATAGGGAAAGGGGGGGTTACGAAATCTGCTGCATGCAGCTAGGCCTCCCCTTGGATTCCGAGGATGAGTGCGCAACCCCAAAGTCCGTTTGCACAATTGTCTGTCAGGGACGATACGGGCGCCCTCGCGCACCTGGCTGGCGTCTCCACCTCTTCCCGACGGTTGCCGACGGCGACCCTGCCCATGCTGACACCCGGACGTTACTCAATTGTTGAGAGGGCGGGTTGCTCAATTGTTGAGAGGGCGGGCTGCAATGAGCGAGACGGCTTATGGGTTGAGGATAGCTTGGTCCCATCCCCTTACATCCTCCCCTGAGAGGATACCGCATACATGGCAAAGCCGCTAAGGCCAGTCAAGGGCGCATCGAAGCGCTGTTTACCGTGGGCGTCGGAGTCTACCGCGACTTGTTGCAGCCTTGTGGACACCCCAGTGACGTGCTTGAGTCCCGACAGCTGGTGGGCCTCATGCCACATAGTACATATCCGTAGTAGCTCCTACAAGCGGAACGCTCGGGCGCGGAGGGTGGTATATACACCCGCCCCCAGGCATGGACCATTCCCCCCGCGAGCGGTTAGAGTTTGCGAGAAGACACGCGATTGTCCCAGATAGCCAGCCATCGAGGCCATCGGCAATTCGTTCAAGGATTACTTCGATCAGCGCAAGAGCGAGCAGAACAAGGGCCAGGAACTCGCAGGCCCCGCATCCCAAACCGTTTTCGCAATTCTAGCCGTTATCGTCAGCTTCAAGTTCAAGGATGTTTCGCTACGGATGCAAGCGGTCTCAGCAGGCTGCAGAAGGCTTGCGCTCATGATGCAGAGGTCGTCGCGGCTGGAGATGTCAGCGTGGGCGCGGGGGCCGGTGGCCCCACCGACCTACGGCAAGCCGAACACCGAGCAGAAGTCTCGCATTACGTTCGCGCTGCACGGAAACATTCTGCTCCCGTGCGAAGACGAGGTCGTGACCGAACACAAGCAGAGGTTCAAGGACGCGGTCGCGGCCAACACCAACTACAAAAAGGCGGATGACGAGCCCGATCGTGGTCCCCTCAGAGATGCTGCAGGTCCCAGGTGTTTGGATTCCAGTCGAACAGATGATCAGCGAGGCCATCAGGGGCATGAGAGGTGATGCGAAGATGAACCGTGCCCCGAGGAACAACATGAGCCGCCAATTGGGCGGGGAAGATCGTCGCGGAGGCACGAAGTGAGTCTGAGCCCTTGCGGCCACGCCCTCGCGCTGGGCCTTTTGGCGTGTTAGGCCATCAGCCTGTTGCCGCCGCCGCTCTGCTGTTGCTTTTTGCTTTGCTTGTTCAGTGCAGCGTGTAGCAGCAGCAGCAGTCATTGTAGAATCGTCTTCAGGTGTTGCAGCTGGCAGCATGGTTGCCATCAGATGATATGACGGCAGGGGGTTGTAGCAATGCCATTCGGGCCCCAGCCCGAGCCAGTGTTATCAGAGTTTCAGAAGTCGGTTTTGAAGGGCTTGAGAACTGAACTAAACTCCTTCTCCTCCTCCTCTTCCTCCTCCTCCTCCATCCTTCCTCCTTTCTTCCCCTCGTCCATCTCTTCTCCTCCTCCTCTTCCTCCTCCTCCTCCTCCTCCTCCTCCCCCTCCTCCTCCTTCTCTTCATCCTCCATCCATCCTTCCTCCTCCTCCTCGGCACCGACGCACACAAACACGCAAACGCACACACACAATCACATATATATATATACACACACACGCACACACACACACACGCGCACACACACACAGACGCACACACCTAGGGTCTGCGCCTTTCGGCGACGTGCCGGCATCAGGAGGTGGGTTCCGGGGACGGGGCGCCCAAACCCCACCTGGGCCGACGAAGGGCGACCGGCGGCGGCGGCCGACGGCTCGGCCGTCTCCAGTCGGGCGCTGGGCGGCAGACGAACGACAATGGACGACGGCGGAGGCGGCAACGGACGACGACGGCCGTCGGGCGGCGGACGACGGGCGCCGGGCGCCCAGGTGGACTCCGGCGTGGAGCGGGTGCTCCCCGCCACCAGCGCCGCGATGCAGGGAAAGCGATCCATGGCGAGGCGGGCCATCGCGTCCTTTCAGGCCGGCCGGCTCGAGGTCCTTGAGGTTTACGGGCTCGGGCACCTCGCCGATTCTGGCTGGGCCGGCCCATTCTGGGCCTGGGATTTTCGGCGTACTTTGGTCATGAAGCGCACGGGTCTTCACTGCCGTCTGGAGGATTTGGGGAGACTCTTGGGCCGCCGTGGAGCGTCGGGAAGCCGAAAAAACGAAAACGCTCGAATTCTTCAAACACAACTTGGAAATAGATTGATGTTGCCCTCTTGGAGGGCTCTTGGAGGCCGTTTGGGATTTGAAGGACCTTTTGGGCCGTTTGGAGGCCATCTTGGCCGTCCTGGAGGCTCGGGGCCCTCTTGGGCCGTCTTGGGTGCCTCTTGGGGCCCTTTTGGCTCGTTGTGGGGCTCTCGATCTTCCCAGGATGTGTTCGGGCCGGGCCTGGGGGATCTGGGCGAACTCCCTCATTCCAATTCGACTGGACCAGGCTCCTGGGAAGGGGGGGGAGGGGGAATCATATTACACACTGATAACATCCCACGGGGTCCGCAGATTTTGCCGCCACGTGCACATCGCAGTGTTTTTTTGCGAGGGATGGTGAGCCTCCAAGAAAGCCCCAAGACGGCACAAGATGGCGCCGAGACGGCCCAAGCAAACTCCCGAAGAACGTCCTGAAAGGCCGCGGCGCCCCAGACATCCTCCAGAGCCGCGGGCTCTCAGAGATTCTCGATGTGCCCGCACCCGAAGTGATCCTCGTCCTGGAAGACCGCGGCGCCCGAGACATCGTCTGGAGCCGCGGGATCTCAGGGATTCTAGATGTGTTCGCTCCCGAAGTAATTCTTGTCCTGGAAGGTCGCGGCGCCCGAGACATCCTCCAGAGCCGCGGGATCTCAGGGATTCTCGATGTGTTCGCACCCGAGGTGATCCTCGTCCTGGAAGGCCGCGGCGCCCGAGCCATCCTCCAGAGCCGCGGGATTTCAGAGATTCTCGATGCGTCCTCACCCGAATTGATCCTCGTCCTGGAAGGCCGCAGCGCCCGAGACATCCTCCATAAAGGCGGGATCTCAGAGATTCCCGAGTTGTTATTTCCCGAATTGATCCTCGTCCTGGAAGGTCGTGGCGCCCGAGGCATCCTCCAGAGCCGCGGGATCTCAGAGATTCTCCATGCGTTCGCACCCGAATTGATCCTCGTCCTGGAAGGCCGCAGCGCCCGAGACATCCTCCATAGCCGCGGGATCTCAGAGATTTCCGAGTTGTTCTTTCCCGAATGATGCTCGTCCTGGAAGACCGCGGCGCCCGAGACATCGTCTGGAGCCGCGGGATCTCAGGGATTCTAGATGTGTTCGCTCCCGAATTGATCCTCCTGGAAGGTCGCGGCGCCCGAAACATCCTCCAGAGCCGCGGGATCTCAGAGATTCTCGATGTGCCCGCACCCGAAGTGATCCTCGTCCTGGAAGACCGCGGCGCCCGAGACATCGTCTGGAGCCGCGGGATCTCAGGGATTCTAGATGTGTTCGCTCCCGAAGTAATTCTTGTCCTTGAAGGTCGCGGCGCCCGAGACATCCTCCAGAGCCGCGGGATCTCAGGGATTCTCGATGTGTTCGCACCCGAGGTGATCCTCGTCCTGGAAGGCCGCGGCGCCCGAGCCATCCTCCAGAGCCGCGGGATTTCAGAGAGTCTCGATGCGTCCTCACCCGAATTGATCCTCGTCATACACATACACACAAAAACACATACAAACACAGGGACAGGATACATTCGGGTGAGGACACATCGAGAATCTCAGAGCCGTGGGATCTCAGAGAGATTCTCGATGTGTCCTCACCCGAATGTATCCTGGGTCTGTGTGTTTGTGTGTGTTTTTTGTGTGTACGTGTGTATGTGCGAGGAGAGGGCGCGACCCGGACGGCCACCGATCGCGCCCTGCCCCTGGGCCTCCCCTTTACCGTTCGGTCGGGCATGTCCTCCTACAGGCGGATCCTCCTATATACATGTATATATGCATCAAGAGATGCAACAAGGAATCAACAACATTCGCAGCATAATCAACATATGGAAACCGATTATCTGTTGAACTGTTCTTGAAGATTCCTCCGGTAGAGGGACATGCCCGACTTCCCACTACCGCATTTTATACCAGGGGCCCCTGAAATGAACAGTGTGGTGCTTCGCCGTGCGAGGCAAGTCTCCACCATGCACTGGCCGCGCTCACTGCCAGAGTGGTGGCAGAGAAAAGTCAAGCCCACGATCCCCGCGTATTTTTTGGATCTGCGCTGGATCCCCCGTATCCCTGGCGCGCGGGGCGCGCCAGGGGCGGCGCCCGAAGCGCCGCCGGGCGACCCACCGTAGATACAAGAAGTCAGCGCGGAGCACCGAACGTTTCTGTTTATACAATTTGTTCGTCTTCGACACGGTCCCCGCCACACACAAACACACACACACATACACACACATACACACACATACACACACAAACACGCACGCACGCACGCACGCACGCACGCACGCACGCACGCACGCACGCACGCACGCACGCACGCACGCACGCACGCACGCACGCACGCACGCACGCACGCACGCACGCACGCACGCACGCACGCACGCACGCACGCACGCACGCACGCACGCACGCACACACAAACACACAGACACACACGCACGCACGCCACACACACACACACACACACACACACATGCACACACGCACACCCGCACACCCGCACACCCGCACACCCGCACACGCGCACACGCGCACACGCGCACACGCGCACACGCGCACACGCGCACACGCGCACACGCGCACACGCGCACATGCGCACACGCGCACACGCGCACACGCGCACACGCGCACACGCGCACACGCGCACACGCGCACAAGCGCACAAGCGCACAAGCGCACAAGCGCACAAGCGCGCACAAGCGCACAAGCGCACAAGCGCACAAGCGCACAAGCACACAAGCGCACAAGCGCACAAGCGCACAAGCGCACACGCGCACACGCGCACACGCGCACACGCGCACACGCGCACACGCGCACACGCGCACACGCGCACACGCGCACAAACGCACGCGCGCACACACGCGCACACGCGCACACGCGCACACGCGCACACGCGCACACGCGCACACGCGCACACGCGCACACGCGCACACGCGCACACTCGCACACGCACACGCACACGCACACGCACACGCACACGCACACGCACACGCACACGCACACGCACACGCACACGCACACGCACACGCACACGCACACGCACACGCACACGCACACGCACCCGCACACGCACCCGCACACGCACACGCACACGCACACGCACACGCACACGCACACGCACACGCACACGCACACGCACACGCACACGCACACGCACACGCACACGCACACGCACACGCACACGCACACGCACACGCACACGCACACGCACACGCACAAGCACACGCACACGCACAAGCACACGCACACGCACACGCACACGCACACGCACACGCACACGCACACGCACACGCACACGCACACGCACACGCACCGCCGGGGGGGGGGGGGGGGGGGGGGGCAGCACGCGCACGCGCACGCGCACGCGCACACGCGCACACACGCACACACGCACCACGGCACACGCGCACACAGCGCACACGCGCACACGCGCACACGCGCACACGCGCACACACGCGCACACGCGCACACGCGCACACGCGCACACGCGCACACGCGCACACGCGCACACGCGCACACGCGCACACGCGCACACGCGCACACGCGCACACGCGCACACGCGCACACGCGCACACGCGCACACGCGCACACGCGCACACGCGCACACGCGCACACGCGCACACACGCGCGCGCGCGCGCGCCCCTCCGCCCCAACGCCTCGGCGCCAGCGAGGTGGCGGACGGCGGCGAGACTCAAGCAATGGCGAAGCGTCCCGATTCGCCTTTAGGCCCACCAACGAATGTTAAAATAACATTCGGTGTCATGCACGAGATGTTATTGCAACATTTCTGGCTGGGGTTGTCTTGATTCAACACATCGGGTGTATGTTCCAAGAACACGGTCTTTGTTCTTAGAACATGTTTGGGTTCTTCGAACATTTCGTGGTAGGCCTAATGCTAGGACGGCCGCTCCCTGCTCAAGAGACGCAATGGGCCATCGATGCGGCCCCCGCGCGTCGGCGGGCGGCGGCCTGGGTGCCCCTGGGGGAACGGCGTTTTATTCCCGGACAGCTTTAAGTCGGGCCGATCCCCCTGCAGGAGGAATTTTCAAAAAAAAAAAAAAAAAAAAAAAAAAAAAAAAAAAAAAAACAGTCGGGGGACGATTTTTCTACATTTCCCAACCATCCTGTAGTGTTGGGTTCCCGTTTTGAAAAGACGGTTTCCGCGTTCCTCCTTCCTCCTTTCCCCTCCTCCCCCCCCCCCTCCCTGCGTTTCACCCACCCAGTACTGCTCCGTATCCACTTTGGCTCAATATGTTTTGGTTCCAAAGAGGAACGCGTGCAGACCGCTAGTCCGCGGCTGTCGAGGCCCGTTGGAGCCCGGCAGCGTTTTGCTCACACCGCGGCTGGGTGGGCGGGTCAACGGAGGCGCTTCCCGTTCCTCCACCCCCGAACGCTCCAGTCACGCGAGGCCAGAAAGGGGCACGCAGGCGGGAAACATAGGCGCGACTGGACGCGCAAGAACTGCATCCATCGCCGCACGGGGAAGGCCCTGCTCAACTGGGGCAGCAGCCTCAAGCGCCACGGCTGCCGCTTGCACAAGAAGGACGTGTTCAGCGAAGTCGCTGCACACGCGGAGCCGTCCAAGAGGCCGAGGGGAACAAGTAGCCGCAGGGCAAGCTCGAGAAATTCTTCGAGGCCACGCAGAAGGACTTCGCCGACCTCAAGTAGGAGGCGGCAAGCCGCCGCCCTGGCAGGAAGCCGCCGAGCGCAGCGAGCCCATGGAGACGAACGACTCGGATGTGGGCAAGATCGACGCCGAGATCAAGCGGCCCCTTCCGCGACCTGGCGATGCTCAAAGGCAGCGACAGCGAGTGGGTCCAGGAAAAGGTGGCCACGCTCAACGCGCAGCTGGCCGACGCGAGGAAGAGGCAGATGGAGCGCAAAACTCGCTGCCCAAGCGCATCCAGGTGCTGGCCAACAAGGTCAAGCAGATGGGCGAGAAGGTGTCCAGGGCGGCGACCGCCAGGGACGCGGCCAAGGATGCCTTGGACGCTGCCCAGCTGGTCCTGGACGACAAGGAGAAGGCCTACCAGGAGCTCCACACGTTGCACGTGGAGATGGAAGCCGAGTTCGAGCGCCCGCGGCAGCTGTTGTCCACGGCGCCAGCCACGCCGGCAACAGGCACGGCTCTGGCGCCAGAGTTGGTGCCAGGACTCGGCCTCACCATGGGGGAGCTCTCGTAACTTGTTGCGTCGCAGCTGGATGCGCACTCGGGCGAGGGGCAGACCCTGCCGCGCGCGGCGCAGGCGAAGTTGGCGGAGGGGTTCAGCAGGCGCATCATGGAGGTCGCTGTCAAGAAGCGGCCCCGGTGCGGCGATGAGGAGGCGGACGCGGGGCGGCAGCCTCACGGCTCACAGGGGGCAGCAGAGGAGGCAGCCCCACCGCGCGACTTCGTCGCGCAGGCCCGCTGGGAGGCCTACGAGCCCGAGGAGTCGGAGCTCCGCGAGAAGATGGCCAGGTTCGCCAAACTAGACGAAGACGCCGCCAAGGTTCGGGAGTTGGCCAAGGCCACGGCGATGGGCGGCTTCGCACCTGATTGAGCTCATCGGCCGCATGCCGATGGTCAACTCAACGGCAGTCTTCAAGTTCAAGGGCATCACCATGTCGATGAACGCGACCTCGCGGGGCTCGAGATTGGGCCTCGCGTCGAGGCGCTCGGCATCGACGCGCGCGCGATCTTGCTGCAGGAGCAACGCGTCGTGAACCCCGCGAAGCTCGCGGCGGCGCAGAGGGAGATGCAGGATTTCGGCGTCGACGGGGTTTGGACTCCGGCGCCGGCCCCCCCCCTGCCTCCCTTGAAGGCGCAGTCGGCGGCGCGGCCGTCCTGGCGAAGGCGCCCATCCTTGTGACGGCGCCGCCGCTGCTCGACTCGCCCACCCTGCATGAGGGCCGCATGCTGGCCGCGCACGTGCACAGGGGCGTGCGCGGAGGCCTGGTGATGGTCTCTGTTTTATCTGGTCGACAGCGTTGGGTTCAGCGTCGTCAACCGGGGGATCTCGTGCACCCTGCTGCGCTACGTGGTGCAGCTCAACGCCGCGGGCTACGAGTGGGTCGTCGGCGGCGGCTTCGACATGGCGCCGGGGCTGCTCGAGCCTCAGCGGGGCGAGGGGGCCAGCGGCATCTGGGCGGCGCCCGGGCAGACCGCGCGCCGCCCGCAGCTGAACAGCTCGTCGACGATCGACTACTTCTTCGTCTCGGGCAACTTGGGCCCGAGGGTCTTCGAGCCGACCGTGCACGGGCAAAGCGCCGCGGCGCCCCGCCAACCGGCGCAGCGTCGGTTCGCCGGGCAGGGCGCGAAAAAGCATGGCGCGCGCCCCTGCGGCGCCTCGGCCCACCCCGGCGGCGCCGCCCATTGGGCGCGCGCGAGGCGAGGAGGACTGGGCCATGCCGTTGGCCAAGGCCCTGCAGGCGAAGGATGCAGAATCGCTTTTTTCCCCCAACCATCCTGCGGTGTTGGGTCTTCGTTTTAAAGAGACGTCGCCCCGCGTTCTCCTCTCCTCTCCTCTCCTCCTCCTTCCTCCCTCCTCCCACCATCATCATCGTCATCATCATTATCATCGTCGTCATCATCACCGTCACCACCATCGTCGTCATAATCCTCACATCCATCAGCATCACCATCATCGTCATCATCGTCATCACATCATCATCATCGCTCTCATCATTACCATCACCCCCCACACGCTTCGTGGCCCCATAAGAGGGCCCCGCCGAAGGCCCCAGCGCCGCCGCCCGCATGCGTCCCGCACACCCATTTCGGCGCACCCCTTCACACGTTTCGTGGCCCCATAGGGAGCTCCGCCGAAGGTCCCAGCGGGCGTGCCCGCATGCGTCCCGCACACCCATTTCGGCACATCCCTCGCATGCTTCGTGTTTAGGGAGCTCCACCGAAGGTCCCAGCGGGCGTGCCCGCATGCGCCCCGCGCACCCATTTCGGCACACCCTCGCACGTTTCGTGGCCCCATGCGGAGCTCCACCGAAGGTCCCAGCGGATGCGCCCGCACGCGCCCCGCACACGGCGCACCCTTCGCACGTTTCGTGGCCCCATAGGGAGCTCCACCGAAGGTCCCAGTGGGTGTGCCCGCATACGTCCCGCACACCCATTTCGGCACACGCCTCGCACGCTTCGTGGCCCCATACGGAGCTCCACCGAAGGTCCCAGTGGGTGTGCTCGCATGCGTCCCGCGCACCCATTCCGGCACTCCCCTCGCGCGCTTCGTGGCCCCATCGGGACCTCCGCCGAAGGTCCCAGCGGGTGTGCCCGCGCGCGCCCCGCACGCCCATGTCGGCGCGCCCCCCGCGCGTTTCGTGGCCCCATAGGGAACTCCACCGAAGGTCGCAGTGGGTGTGCCCGCATGCGCCCCGCACACCCATTTCGGCGCACCTCTTGCACGTTTCGTGGCCCCATCGGGAGCTCCACCGAAGGTCCCAGCGGGCGTGCCCGCATGCATCCCGGACGCCCATTTTGGAACACCCCTCGCACGTTTCGTGGCCCCATAGGGAGTTCTACCGAAGGTTCCAGCGGGGGGGTGCCCGCTTGCGTCCCGCACGCCCATTTCGGCACGCCCCTCGCCGGAGCGCCGTTCCCCCGACGGGGCGGGAGAATGGCGCTCGGGGGACGGCCAGACCTCCGGGGCGCGAGCAGTCCGCAGCCATCCTTCTGTCCCGTGGACTCTTCGCCCTGGGCCGTCGGCTGCCCGGCGCACTGCCCCCTCGGCCGACGTCGCCCAGGCGTGGCCCTGGATTGCGGCCGCCACGAGTCGGGAACGGCAAGAAGGAGGGGCGACTGGCGGCTGGAGCTCCACGCGCTGCACTCGCGCGCCACGCGCCACGAGGACCTCCCGCTCACGCGGGCGCCGCGCATCGAGTTCTTCCTGGCCGGGCCGCCGGAGGGCTTGCGCAAGCAAGTCGAGCAGTCTGCGGCGCGCGCGAAGCGGCGCAGGAGGGAAGGCACGGCCCTCGCCAGTGAGCTTGGCTTCACCGAGTTTATCCGCGAGGCCTGACCTAAGGGGCGGCCCGCCACAGCCGCGCCTTCCCTCGGCTGTCCAACTGTTTGGCCTCGCGCCGCGGACGCCCTGCGCGCGTCGCAGGGGCCCTCTCGGGGCGATCAGCGCGCGTCGCGCGAACTCCGCGCTGCGCTCTGTCCAGCGCCTCGCTCGCCCGTCGTCGCTCCGCCCGGCGGCCGGAGCCATGCGCGCTCAGTTGACCTGCAAGCAATCTCTGTTCCACGCAGCTTACGAACCGCGCGCGTCACTGTGACCCCTTCGGGGCGACCTGCGCGCGTCGCGAGGGCTCCGCCTTGCGCTGCGCCCGCAGCCTTGGACTTTGGAGTGCGCGGGCAAAGGAGATGGTGAAAGGAGGGGAGGAAGCGGGCGCGATCCTCGCGTGGGGCGCGCCGACATGAGCGCCGCGGCGCGCGGGCGATGCCGTCGGGTTTCCCAGGGGAGCCCCCTGCAGAGGCTACGCCGCACAATGCCCCCATGCGGTTCGTGGCCCCATAGGGGGCGCCACCGAAGAGGATAGACGCAACTGCGGCACTCACAACTGCACATGGTTTGGCCCTTCGCCAGGACAATTCCCGTGGGGCTGGGGCCAGCGCGGGACAGCGCGAGGGGGGGGTGTCAAAGCTCCCGAAGACATACGATACCCCGATGAGAACGACGATCACGCGCAACAGCTGCTGGCGCAGGCGCGGGGCACCGCGCGGGACACCGCCGAGCAGGAGTTGCTGGGCCGCCGCGACAAGGCGGGAGGGCAGAGGCACAGGCACGTCGGCAGGTCAGGCGGCCTGGCGACGGCCCTGCGACCTGCCAAGCGGCGACCGCCTGCGCATCGGGCGCGGCTCAGCCCGCTCGCTGGAGCCTGCCGTGTCGCGGCGAGGTGGGCGCGTCACTCGATGGGCGCCTGTGCGTTCGTCGCCAAGTCGCTGCGCCAATTGCAGGCATCGGGCGCGGTGCGCGCGCTGTCGTCGATGAAATACTCCAAGCTGGCCTGCTCCCTGCTGGAGACCAAGAGCTACCTCGACCAGGTGGCGAGGCACCGCGAGATCATCGCGCAGCTGCCGCAGTGGGCGCAGGATTTCTTCTCGGCACGCATGCACGTCATGCTGCGGGACGACCTCATAAAAGGTTGCCGGCGACATCGTGGAGCACGCTAGCACAGCGGCGGAGAAAGCGATGGACGGCAAGCAGAAGGCGCGGGCGCGCTGTGCCCAGGACAGCTTCCTGAAGGGGGCTGGCCTGTCGCACAGGGCGACCAAGCCCCGCGCGCTGCAGCTGGCGCTGCCCAAGTGGACGGAGCGCGACAGGATCGCCAGACCCGCCAACGCCTGCGACGAGGAGGTGGAGGAGTGGGCCAATATTTGGAGGTGCCACGAGCTGGAGCAGCTTCAGAGGCCGCACGACATCGACCAGTGGGAGCCTCTCCCCACGCTCACGGTGGGCATGCTGCAGGCTGCTGCGCTGTCCTTCCCGACCTCCGCGGCGATCGGGCCCGCGCGCATCGGCATTCGGGCGCTGGTGCACTTGTCGATGGTCGGGGTCAATGTGTGCGCTGCCCTCTTCACGCGCCGCGAGGGGGTCGGTGCTCGGCCCACGGCAGGATCTGGCGCGCGATGGTCAGGCTGCCCAAGCCGACTGGAGGCTGCCGTCTGATCACGCTCATGCATGCGCTGGTCAGGCGGTGGTCACGGACGAGGGCCACCGTCTCCAAAGCCTGGCTATCCGCGCACCCCCGCGCCGACATCTGGGGCATGGGAGGGGGCGGGAGCTCGTCGGACACGGCCTTCGACCTCAACGTCGAGACGGAGATCTCTGCGGAGCTCGGAGAGCACGCGCTCGCGGTGCTCATGGGCGCCTGGAAGCCTGGAAGTTCTTCGAGACGAGCGCCCCCGCGGCGCTGCTGGCGGAGGCGCGGGATCTGGGCTTGCCGCTGCGCCTCGTCGGGGTGCTGTTGGAGCTCTATCGGCAGCCGAGGGGGCTATGCGCGTTCGGTTCGATTTCGTGCGATGTGGTCGCGTGGCAGGGGGTGCTGGCGGGCTGCACGCGCGCCTGCGCGATGGTCTCGCTCCTGCTCCACAGGCTGCTGCAGCGCATTCGATGCCTCGGCGTGGTGCCCAGAGCGCTGATCGACGATGTCACCCTGCACATGGCGGACTTCATGGTGCCTGCCCTGGACACGCCGTGGGCTGCGGCCACCAGGTTCCGAGAGGGCGCCCTCGAGTTCGGCATCATCAGCCAGAGGGAGAAGTCTGGCCATGTCACCCCGTCCGCGGCCGTCGCGCAGCGCTTTCGGCAGCACGGCGGGGCGCGAGGCCTCAAGGGCAGGCGCTGGGCCAGGAACCCGGGGCACGACCTTTGCGGCCGTCGCAGGGCGCGGCGCCAGACCGCCGAGAAGATGAAGGCATTCGCTTTGCGCGCAGGGGCAGGCGATTGCTCTTCAAGAAGGCGGCCGGCACGAGGGTCGCCTGCCACTGGAAGACGCCCCCCCCCCCCCCCCCCCCCCCGGCGCCGCGCGCGGAGCCGGAGTGTCTCGGTGCTGGCCACCTCGTCCGAGTGCGCCGCATGCGGGGCGGAGTCGGGCACCCCTGGGCACTGGCTCTTCGGCTGCGAGACCCTCCTGGAGCCAGAGTTACTGGACGAGGAGAAGGGCGAGGTGCTCCCCGAGAGGCGCAACGTGGCCTGGGCCCTCATGCGCGACCAGGGCCTCAAGATGGGCGGTGGGCCGCAGGCGCGGGGCGACTTCGCGCTGTCGGCCTGCCCCCCATGCATGCCGCCGAGCGCGCCGCCTGAGGAGCGCACCGCGAAGGTGTACTACTGGGGCGACTGGAGCGCCGACCCTGGCGCGACGCACGAGGGCAACGCCGTCCTCTCGGACGGCTTGGGCCTGGCTTCGTCGATCCCCGAGTCCGGCGCTGCGGCTGGGCAGCGGCGCAGGTCTCGACGAAGGGCCTGCCAGTGCGCGCCGCGAGCGGGCCTCTGCTGGGCCCCTCCAGACGACGGGGTGCGCGAAGAGGCGCGCCCTGCTGCAGGCGCTGCTGGCCCTCTCGCCGCAGCACGGCGGGCCTGCCGTCGACGTCGTCTTCGCGGACCTGCGGGGGTTCGCCGGGGAGGCGGCCTCCTGGGGCGCGGCGCTCGAGCAGGCAGGCGCGACGCAAGCCGCGGTCTGGCGGCGCCTGCGCGCGCGGCCGGCGCGGCCTGCGGCGCGCTGGACCCCCGCGCGCATTGAGCTCGAGAAATTCCAGGAGCGCGGGGTGCACCCCCTCCTCTTGATGGGGAACACGCGGGCGGGGCTCTTCGCGAAGGAAGGGGCCAGGGCCCGCGCTGTCCCGCAGGGCTACGCGGATTTCTACGGGGTCGAGATCGAGTGCCGCAGGCTGGTCGCGGCCTACATCGCGCGGGCCATGCGGCGCGTGCTTGAGATCCCGAGCTGGCAGGCGACGGACACGGCAGCGCGCCCCTGCAAGAGGCCCCCGAGCGCGCCGCCTGTAGCGGTGGCGCGGCACCAGCTGGCCCTCCTGCGCGGCGGCAGGGTCGCGCTGTGTCGGCGGCGCCGCAGATCCACAGCGACCGCCCGAGGTCCGTCGCGGGCGCAGCGCCTGCTCTCTCCATGCAGCGAGAGCCAGGTGGCGAAGCTCATGGTGGACGCCGTCAACGAGCATGTGGGGGCGACGTGGGCCCAGGTGTCAGAGGGCGGCCCGCTCGCCACGGCGGCGCTGGACGCGTCCCAGGGGCTGCTGGGCCCAGGCGACTTGGCCGAGACACCGCCGACGCTCTGGGCCCTGGGCGACACGGCGGTGGACGTTCAGGGCCACCGCTTGCGCAGGGCTGGCCCCGCCATCCTCTGCCAGGTGCGCGTGGCCTGGTCGGGCAGCGGCGCGCCGAGAGCGCTGCTGGAGCCGCGCCGAGGCATGCCCACGGGCGAGGGTCGTGATGCGCGGACCTACCTGTCCAATTCAGGTCGCGGCTTCGGAGGCTAGAGGCAGGCAGGCACCCGGAGAGCGGAGAGGCCATTGTTTGGCGGGGAGTTGCCGGCTGAATCGCGGGTCGGGGCAGAGTCGCGCGCGCCTTGAAATCGCGCCGCCTGGAGGGGCGGAGTTCGCCAGTCGGAGTATGCTCCTCGTCGTGTTAGGCACATGCGAGCCGATCTTCGGGTGCGAGGTGCTGTGGGCGATTGGCCGCGGCGCTGTCGGCTGGTGTCTGATCGGCCGACGGTCGGCATGCCCTGGCGGTGGCGCAGGCGGCGCGCTGGAGAGGTGGCGGCCTGCTGGCGCCCAGGTCCCTGCCGCCTGCGAGGAGCGCTGGGGGAGAGCTCCCAGTCCAGGCGGGCCGAACCGCGGCCGCGGCCTGATGCCGCTCTGGCCATCCTGGGCCGAGCGAGGCGGCGTGCGCCGTGCAGGTCGGCGATTTCGGCGACCTGATGCTCTCTGAGGCCGCCCGCCCGGGCATCGCGAGCGTCTGTCGGGCCCCCGTCGGATGCCTCTCGCCGTCTTCTCCCGTCATCACCCACCGAGTACAGCGTGTCGTGTCCCCGCAGGGAGCTCAACTGAAGCCCGCAGTGGGACCGTCCGCATGCGTCCCGAAACGCCCAATTTAGGATTTTCCACCCACGCATGACAGCGCTTCGTGGCCCCATAAGGAGCTCCACCGAAGGCCCCAGTGCCACCGCTCGGATTACCACAGGACCTGCGGGCCCCGTAGAGAGGGGCTCCCGCCTGAGACTTCCTCGCAATTCACTCACAGACAAGGCCCCCCCCCTGAGACTCCCTTCAAATTCAGGCCTGAGGAGCCCAGCCATATCACGGAAGGGGAAGAGGATGACACCAGAGACGGGGCGCACACACGCGCACACACATCACAAAGGTTGCAATTCAAATGCGCGAAGGATTTTGCAGAACTCGCGAATATACAGAATAAGATTGTTCCCCACATGCTTCGTGGGGTTCTGGTTTTCTTCCCACCCGCGCCGCGCCCGCGTCTCACCCACACCCGCCCTCCTCCCCTCCTCCTCCTCCTCCCCCTCCCCCTCGCGCACACAGCACAGCGCAGCGCAGCGCAGCACAGCACAGCACAGCGCAGCACAGCACAGCACATCACAGCGCAGCGCACACAGCACAGCACAGCACAGCACAGCACAGCACAGCACAGCACAGCACAGCACAGCACAGCACAGCACAGCACAGCACAGCACACACACACACACGGCTTGGCACGCGCGGCACATTCTCGACGCCATAGGGGTCGTCCACGGCACAGCAGGCGCGGCAGTTTTGCACAGCACACCTGCACAGCACAGCACAGCATAGCACAGTGCAGCACACCGCAGCACAGCACGGCACGGCACAGCACAGCACATCGCAGCACAACTCAGCACAGCATAGCACACAGGGCAGGCGCGCAGGGCACGGCAAGGCAGAGCGTGGCAGGGGTGGCACTTTCTCGACACCACAGGGGGCGCGCAGGGGGTGGTCCCTGAGCTCGGCCGCTATGCACGACGGTTGTCCCGGCACAGCAGGCGCGGCACTTTCTCGACACCACGTGGGGGTGCGCAGGGGGTGGTCCTTGAGCTCGGCCGCTATGCACGACGGTTGTCCAGGCACAGCAGGCGTGGCACTTTCTCGACACCATGGGGGTGCGCAGGGGGTGGTCCCTGAGCTCGGCCGCTATGCACGACGGTCGTCCAGGCACAGCAGGCGTGGAACTTTCTCGACACCAGAGGGGGTGCGCAGGGGGTGGTCCCTGAGCTCGACCGCTATGCACGACGGTCGCCCAGGCACAGCAGGCGTGGCGCTTTCTCGACACCATAGGGGGTGCGCAGGGGGTGGTCCCTGAGCTCGGCCGCTACGCACGACGGTCGTCCAGGCACAGCAGGCGTGGCATTTTCCCGGCACCAGAGGGGGTGCGCAGGGGGTGGTCCCTGAGCTCGGCCGCTAATGCACGACGGTCGTCCACGCATAGCAGGCGTGGCACTTTCTCGACACCATAGGGGGTGCGCAAGGGGTGGTCCCTGAGCGCGGCCGCTATGCACGACGGTCGTCCAGGCACAGCAGGCGTGGCATTTTCTCGACACCACAGGGGGTGCGCAGGGGGTGGTCCCTGAGCTCGGCCGCTATGCGCGACGGTCGTCCAGGCACAGCAGGCGTGGCACTTTCTCGACACCATAGGGGGTGTGCAGGCGTCGGTCCCTGAGCTCGGCCGCTATGCACGACGGTCGTCCAGGCATAGCAGGCGTGGCAATTTTCCTCGACACCACAGGGTGTGCAGCGGTGGTCCCTGAGCGCGGCCGCTATGCACGACTGTCCGTCCACCCCCCCGAGGCGTGGCATTTTTCGGGACACCACAGGGTTGGTTCCCTGAGCTCGCCGCTGGACGCGCGACGTCGTCCAGGCACAGCAGGCCGTTGCACTTCCTCGGACGACCATAGGGGGTGTGCAGGCGGTGGTCCCTGAGCTCGGCCGCTATGCACGACGGTCGTCCACGGCACAGCAGGCGTGGCATTTTCTCGACACCATAAGGGGGTTGCAGGGGGTGGTCCCTGAACTCGCCGCTATGCACGACGGTTGTCCAGGCACAGCAGGCGTGGCACTTTCTCGACACCATAGGGGGTGCGCAGGGGGTGGTCCCTGAGCTCGGTCGCTATGCACGACGGTCGTCCAAACACAGCAGGCGTGGCACTTTCTCGACACCACAAGAGGGTGCGCTGGGGGTGGTCCCTGAGCTCGGTTGCTACGCGCGACGGTCGTCCAGGCACAGCACGCGTGGCACTTTCTCGACACCAGAGGGGGTGCGCAAGGGGTGGTCCCTGAGCTCGGCCGCTATGCGCGACGGTCGTCCAGGCACAGCAGGCGTGGCATCTTCTCGACACCACAGGGGGTGCGCAGGGGGTGGTCTCTCGCCGCGGCCGCCATGCACGACGGTCGTCCAGGCACAGCAGGCGTGGCACTTTCTCGACACCACAGGGGGTGCGCAGGGGGTGGTCCCTGAGCTCGGCCGCTATGCACGACGGTCGTCCAGGCACAGCAGGCGTGGCACTTTCTCGACACCGTAGGGGGTGTGCAGGGGGTGGTCCCTGAGCTCGGCCGCTATGGACGACGGTCGTCCAGGCCCAGCAGGCGTGGAACTTTCTCGACACCATAGGGGGTGCGCAGGGGGTGGTCCCTGAGCGCGGCCGCTATGCACGACGGTCGCCCAGGCGCAGCAGGCGTGGCACTTTCTCGACACCATAGGGGGTGCGCAGCTGTAGCATCATAATCGTCATCATCATCAAGAATTGTAGCCACCCTGGCTCATGCGGGCTCAGACTGCTGGATATGTGAATGCGGACGGCCGCGGGTGACTCTCCGTCAAAGGTACGGTCCCCGTCATGGCGCCCAAATGCGCAATGTCTGCTTTGCCACCGCCTTGTGAGCAGCTCAAGAAATCAATGCAAGATATGGGCGCTGAGGTGAGCCCGGATGGCTTGCGAATATATGTTTTCCGGCATGGGAACGCCTTGGCACGCGGCGCATTTGATGCTTACCACCGACAGCTGGCAAACTGGTGGCCTGACACGCTCCCCACCAGGTACAACGAGTTGCCGCGAACAAAAGGCGCCGACGATGCCAGGAGGCAGTGCTTGACTAGGTACTTGCTGAACCCCTCGTCCGGAGGGTTCCCAGCTGATCAGCCGGGGGGGTGTGCGGAGGATGGCGATGGCTCGCCGTTGGCGAAAGTTCGGCGGGTCGGCGACGCCGGCAACGGGGGCGTTGCCACGCCCGCGCAGGACGCGCCTATCAAGTCCACGCCCATGCAGCCTTTCACTCCTCAGCGGTCCCCAGCACTTCTGCTTGCTACCTGTGTTCGTTCCACAGGCACCCCTCGCATTCACTTGTCCCCTGGGCCGACTCAGACGGACCGCCGTTGGGCAGAAGTACCTTGGTCGCAAAGCCTGCGAGAATCAGTTCAGCTTGAGAAACTGATGACGAAAGCCGATGCGAAAGCAGTGAAATGGTACACGGCATTCGTGGCAAAGCGAGCCTCTGATCCGGAGTACTTGCAGTCGAGGAGGGGCGACGATGCCGACTTGTGGAAGGCGCTTAACAGATGCTCTACCAACGAGGCGCCCTACATAATGGATGTTCCCACTCTTCGTCTGTTCGCATTGCTGCCTGACATGCTCGGCGTAGCTGGCGCCAAGTTCTACGGGGAGGTCAGCGATGTCGCCCCCTGGCGTCGGACCTTTCGAACCGCCGCAGAGCATCGTGGCATCGACTCTCTGCGCGACGTGGAAGGCCCAGCGCGCTCCTCGCGGCAGGCTGCCCCGGCAGAGCGGCTGGAGGCGGTGAAGTTTCTTTACGCGGCTGACCAGGAGGACCCGCGCCCCGACCCGGCCAGGGCCAAGCGCATCGCGCAGGTGCTCGCTTCTTGGGCGGACTTCAGACGCATGAGCCTCGCCCACGCGGGTTCGTTCTCGTTTGCAAAGGAGCGAATATTCGATTTCTTTGCTGGCGTCACAGACGACATGTCGAACCTCTGCCTGACGTCCGCGCGCATGCCCAACTTCGGGAATACGTGCTACCTCAACGCCGTGGTGCAGGCCCTGATCCACTGCAAGCCGTGGAGGCGTCGGGATCTTCAAATCCACGCGAGCGCGTCGTTCCGCACAGTTGCTCCGGCGCTGCGAGTCCCATGGCGAATCGCATTGCGTTTTTAAAGGCGGCCCTGGGCTACCGCTGAGCTCCCCGAGTTAGTGCTCGGTTGCCGCGGCGAGCGACTCCAGTCGTTGGGTGCGATATGATTTGGAAACACGCCCCTCCCCTCCCCCCTTGCCTTGCATTCATGGGACTTGGTCGCGTCGAGAGCACGGTGCGTCTGCGTCTGCCAGGCTGGAGATTCTTCGCCGTGGCGAGGCCGACCTGATGCCGCTCGGCCAGTGCCTGTGGCGCTACGTTCTCTCGTATGCCCGGGCCTTAGACGAGCTCTGATCTCGATCCTCTCTGGCCCAGTTCCAAGGGTTCTTACGCGCGAGAGATCTGGCGCGCGCCTGGAGATTGCTTAACAGCGAAGACTGCTAGGTTTCTAATGGGGTCAAAAGAGAGCATCTGATGACTCCCCAGGGGGGTCTGGGCGGGAGCCGGACAGGCGAGGGCCGGGCTCGTTTTAAACAAACAGTCACACACTTCGTGCTCTTCGACCTCCCAGAACTCCACTCCCGGGCCACATTTTGAATGCCCGGAGCGAACTGTAGGCCGCTTCGTGCTCTTCGACTTCCCAGAATTCTATTCCCGGGCCACATTTTGGATGCCCGGAGCCAACTGTAGGCCACTTCGTGTTCTTCGATCTCCCAGAACTCCATTCCCGGGCCACATTTTGGATGCCCGGAGCCAACTGTAGGCCACTTCGTGCTCTTGGACTTCCCAGAACATCATTCCCGGGCCACATTTTGAATGCCCGGAGCCAACGGTAGGCCACTTCGTGCTCTTGGATTTCCCAAAGCACCACTCCCGGGCCACATTTTGAATGCCCGGAGCCAACTGTACGCCACTTCGTGCTCTTCCACTTCCCAGACTTCCAAGACTCATCATCTTCATCATCATAATCATCGCCCCCGTAGCCTTCTTGGCTACAGCCCTGATTTCGAAGATTTCCTTTCAAAGGAACTGCGCAGCGCCTACTGCGCACCTTAAGGCCAGGACATGCTGATAGTTCTCGGTCTGGCGGCGGTGCTCCTGACCCTGCGGCATTGAACAGCGGTGCTCCTCAGCCTGCGGCAGGGAACAGCGCTGCTCCTCAGCGTGCTGCATTGAGCGGTCCTCTGCAAACGCTCGTCGAGCACGCGAAGCAGTTCGGCCGGATACCGAAGCGAAATACAGGAACGTCCGAACAAGAACGGGCCGAAAACAAGTTGGCCAAACGTTTCTCGGACCATCGCGACCGCATCCCCAAAGACACGTTGCATGAACTGCGGGCCCTGGGCTGCGTTGATCAGCAGACGGAGACCGAGGAGCTCGAGAGGAAGCAGAAGACCGAGGAGCTCATGCAGCAAAAGCGAGACAAGACCGAGGAGCTCATGCAGCAAGTGCGAGACCTCGGCCGCCGCCCGAAGGAGTATGCCGGGCGTGGCCTCGCAGAGCGGCAGCTGGCAGAGAAAGTCCGGAAAGCGCGGAAGGCCAACCAGTTCTCCCCGGAGCAGGGCGCCGAGCTCCAGGCCTTCAAGCAAGCGGAGAGCGAAGCCACAACAAAGACTCGCATCGCGGAGGCGGAGGGCCTTCCAAACCCCATGGAAGTGTTCGCTGAGGAGGCGCAGAACAGGATCGACCAGGACCTGCTGAAGCTCGAGAGTGGCATCCGGACCAAGGCAATCCTGCGGCGCCTTGCCGCCTACAAGGAGCTTGTGTCCAGCCTCTCTGCGCAACGCGCGGAATTCGCGCAGCGGTGCGCGGAGCGGGCGCGCAAGGCGTCGGCCGCCCCCGCGGGGAAGAGCTCCTGCGTTCCCGGCGGCGAGGTGGAGGGGGGCCAGCTGCGCGTCTTCTCCGACCGCCCCGTCATGACGGGGCCGCTCGTGCGCCAGCTCTGCGACTGCGACTTTCTTACAGAGGAAGACTTTGCGCAGCACAAGCAGCAGGGCCACGCGGGCGAGGCGGAATACCGCAAACGGGCGCTGTTCCTGATGGCGGAGGCTGGCTGCAGGCCGATAGCCGCCCAGGAAAAGAGGCTCATGGTGCAGAATTATGCTCACGTCCAGCAGTTCTGTCACCCGGGCAGCAAGGGCAACCGCTTCTCGGGCAACGAGGCAGTGCACCGATGCGAGGCAGCGCAATACCGTGGCATGCACTCGCGTAGTGCTTCTCAGCCTGCACTCGCGCGGTGCTTCGCAGCCTGCGCCTCCTCGGTACTTGCCAGCCGCCGGATTGGCGCGATTTCCTGCAATATAAGCGGGAGAGGTGAAGTATCCGAGCCCGCGTGTCCACGGTGTTTCTCGGCGCGCGTACTTGTAATCCTAGTTCCAGCAGTAGTAGGACTGCGCGGCCGCGGTGCTTCTCAGCCTCCGAGTTTCCGCGGTGCTTCTCAGCCTGCAAGTTTTGCCGACTGTCCGCTTCACACGCCGCTCCTCAGTCGCTCCTCTTCCTTTTTGCGAGATGTCTTCCAAGATTTGGTTGGGGGCCGAGAAAGACGGACAGAACAAATCCAAGTAGCGCGGTCATCATCCCATCATCCTCCTCAATCATCACATCATCATCATCAACGGCTTCGCCGAGCACCCCGGCGGAGACACAGGTCTTACGGGTCCGTGCCCATACTATTACTACTACTACTACTACTACTACTACTACTACTACTACTACTACTACTACTACTCCTGCTACTACTACTACTACTACTACTACTACTACTACTACTACTACTACTACCTACTACTACTACTACTACTACCTACTACTACTACTACTACTACTACTACTACTACTACTACTACTACTACTACTACTACTACTACTACTACTACTACGACATCACACTAAATCCATTCATGGGAGTGCCTGTTTTGGAGCTACACTCATTGATGCAAGTGTGTCGTTTCGAGGCTCAACCCGTTGATAGCAGTGTCTCGTTTGGAGTCACATCCGTTGATAGCAGTGTTTTGTTTAGACCTCATGCATTTATACAAAGATCTCATTTGGAGATACCGTTATCGAAAGCAGTGTTTCTACTGCTACTACCACTGCTCCCATCACTCCTACTCGTTCATTCCACACACTACAACTACTACTTCACTGTTACCACTACTACCATCACTACTACTTCTACTGCTACTACTACTGTTACTATTACTGCTGCTGCTGCTGCTGTTGCTGCTGCTAGTGTAGCTATTGCTATTGCAACTACTGGCAGTGCCACTGCGACTGCCGCTGATGTTGCCACTGCGACTGCCACTGCGAATCCGAATGCGACTGCGAGAACACCAGAATTCTACAACAGCGCTCTTACATGAATACCACAGGCAATGTTTCCAGCTATGCTTCTACACATCGCTGTTAGGTTGCTTTGCCGGGATATTTTTCGATCGAAAGGCTTCGCCAATCGCAATGCCCAGAGGCTTTCCGTCAAACGTCGAAGCGGGATGTGACATGGTTTGTGAACACACGTGACATAAGATAAGTATGTGGGGTTCCTCGGTAGCGTAATTTTTATTTTTCTCTTTCACTCTCTCTCTCCCCGAAGTAGTTCCCCCGCTGGAAGACGAGTCGTTACCCTCGCTCCTTCCGTTTTTTTACCTAGCAGCGAAGACTGCTAGGTTTCTAATGGGATCAAAAGAAAGCATCTGATGACTCCCCAGGGGGGTCTGGGCGGAAGCCGGACAGGCGAGGGCCGGGTTCGTTTTAAACAAACAGTCACACACTTCGTGGTCTTCGTGTTCCCAGAACACCATTCCCGGGCCACATTGTGAATGCCCAGAGCCAACTGGAACACCATTCCCGGGCCACATTTTGAATGCCCGGAGCCAACTGTAGGCCACTTCGTGTTCTTCCAGAACACAATTCTCGTGCCACATTTTGAATGCCCGGAACCAACTGTAGGCCACTTCGTTTTCTTCGTGTTCCCAGAACACCACTCCCAGGCTACACTTTCATTGCCCGGAGCCAACTGTGAAGCTGAGGCTGAGGCAGGCTGAGGCTGAGGCAGGCTGAGGCTGAGGCCGACGCAGGCTGAGGCTGAGGCTGAGGCTGATGGAGGCTGAGGCTGAGAGGCTGACGCTGAGGCTGAGGCACGCTGAGGCTGAGGCTGGGGCCAAGGCAGGCTGAGGCTGAGGCTGAGGCAAGCCGAGGCAGGCTGAGGCTGAGGCTGAAGCTGAGGCAGGCTGAGGCTGAGGCTGAGGCTGTGGCTGAGGCTGAGGCAAGCTGCGGCTGAGGCAGGCTGAGGCTGAGGCTGATGCAGGCTGAGGCTGAGGCAGGCTGAGGCTGAGGCTGAGGCCGAGGCAGGCTGAGGCTGAGGCCGAGGCAAGCCCAGGCAGGCTGAGGCTGAGGCTGAAGCTGAGGCAGGCTGAGGCTGTGGCTGAGGCTGAGGCAAACTGCGGCTGAGGCTGAGGCTGAGGCTGAGGCAGGCTGAGGCTGAGGCTGATGCAGGCTGAGGCTGAGAGGCTGAGGCTGAGGCTGGCTGAGGCTGAGGCCGAGGCAGGCTGATGCTGAGGCTGAGGCAAGCCGAGGCAGGCTGAGGCTGAGGCTGAAGCCGAGGCAGTCTGAGGCTGTGGCTGTGGCTGAGGCTGAGGCAAGCTGCGGCTGAGGCAGGCTGAGGCTGAGGCTGATGCAGGCTGAGGCTGAGGCAGGCTGAGGCCGAGGCTGAGGCTGAGGCAGGCTGAGGCTGAGGCTGAGGCCGAGGCAGGCTGAGGTTGAGGCCGAGGCAAGCCGAGACAGGCTGAGGCTGAGGCTGAAGCTGAGGCAGGCTGAGGCTGAGGCTGTGGCTGAGGCTGAGGCAAGCTGCGACTGAGGCAGGCTGAGGCTGAGGCTGAGGCAGGCTGAGGCTGAGGCTGAGGCTGAGGCTGAGGCTGAGGCAGGCTGAGGCTGAGGCTGAGGCAGGCTGAGGCTGAGGCTGAGGCCGAGGCAGGCTGAGGCTGAGGCCGAGGCAAGCCGAGGCAGGCTGAGGCTGCGACTGCGAGAACAGCAGAATTTTACAATTGGATTCTCACCTAAGTCTTAAGGGGAATGCTTCCAGGTATGCTTTTACACATCGCTGTTAGGTTGCTTTGCCGGGATAATTTTGCGTGAGCCTGCGCGCGCGATGCCGCGCGTTTGACTCACATGCAAGTTGTGAGGAGCGGGCGCAGCGTGCGCTTCTGCGGTGCGCGCGCCTCCCCCCTGGCACTAAGCCGGGCCTTTCCCTCTACAGGGGGAGTATTAAATTATCCAGTGACGTACCCAACCCTTTCTACACAAGTGGCAATTGCATGCAGGACCACTCAACACCGAAGGACATTTCGGCGCCATGGTATAGTGGTGATCTGCGTAGGACGTACCTCCGCTGAGCCTCCCAGAACCCATGCGCGCCAGGTGAGCCAAGCGCGCCAGGCGCGCCAGGTGCGCCAGGTGCGCCAGGTGCGCCAGGTGCGCCAGGTGCGCCAGGTGTGCCAGGTGCGCCACGTGCGCCAGGTGCGCCACGTGCGCCAGGCGCGCCAGGTGCACCAGATGCGCCAGGCGCGCCAGGTGCGCCAAGTGTGCGCCAGGTGTGCGCCAGGTGTGCGCCAGGTGTGCGCCCGGTGTGCCAGGTGCGCCAGGCGCGCCCAGCGCGCCAGGTGCGCCAGTTGCGCCAGGTACGCCAGGTGCGCCAGGCGCGCCAGGCGCGCCAGGTGCGCCAGGTGCGCCAGTGGCGCCAGGCGCGCCAGGTGCGCCAGGTGCGCCAGGTGCGCCACGCGCGCCAGGCGCGCCAGGTGCGCCAGGTGCGCCAGGCGCGCCAAGTGAGCTACGTGCGCCAGGTATGGGCCAGGTGTGCGCCAGGTGTGCGCCTAGCGCGCCAGGCGCGCCAGGTGCGCCAGGTGCGCCAGGTGTGCCAGGTGCGCCAGGTGCGCCAGATGCGCCAGGTGCGCCAGGTGCGCCAGGTGCGCCCAGCGCGTCAGGTGCGCGCCAGGTGCGCGCCAGGTGCGCGCCAGGTGCGCGCCAGGCGCGCGCCCGGTGCGCCAGTTGCGCCAGGTGCGCGCCACGTGTGCGCCAGGTGCGCGCCAGGTGCGCGCCAGGTGCGCCAGTTGCGCCAGGTGTGCCAGGTGCGCCGGTTGCGCCAGGCGCGCCAAGTGAGCCAGGTGCGCCATGTGCGCCAGGTGCGGCAGGTGCGCCAGGTGCGCCTGGTGCGCCAGGTGCGACAGGCGCGCCAGGTGCGCCAGGTCTGCGCTAGGTGTGGCAGGTGCGCCAGGTGCGCCCAGCGCGCCACGTGCGCCATGTGCGCCAGATGCACCAGGTGTGCCAGGTGCGCCAGGTGCGCCAGGTGCGCCACTTGCACCAGGCGCGCCAGGTGCGCCCAGCGCCTCAGGTGCGTCTGGTGCGCCCAGCGCGCCAGGTGCGCGGCAGGTGCGCGCCAGGTGCGCGCCAGGTGCGCGCCAGGTGCGCGCCAGGTGCGCCAGTTGCGCCAGGTGCGCGCCAGGTGCGCGCCAGATGCGCGCCAGGTGCGCCAGGTGCGCGCCAGATGCGCCAAGGGGACAGGGAGGCTTCAAAGTGGTCTGCGTAAAACGTACCTCCGCTGGGCCTCCCAGGAACCCACGAAAGTGGCGACAGTTGCGCAGATCGCAGCTCCCCCAAGGAAACAGGGATGCCTCAAAGTGATCTGCGTAGGACGTACCCCCGCTGGGCCTCCCAGGAACCCACGAAAGTGGCGACAATTGCGCAGATCGCAGCCCCCCCAGGGGACAGGGAGGCTTCAAAGTGATCTGCGTAGGACGTACCTCCGCTGGGCCTCCCAGGAACCCACGAAAGTGGCGACAGTTGCGCATATCGCAGCCCCCCCAGGGGACAGGGAGGCCTCAAAGTGATCTGCGTAGGACGTACCTGCGCTGGGCCTCCCAGGAACCCACGAAAGTGGCGACAGTTGCGCAGATCGCAGCCCCGCAGGGGACAGGGAGGCCTCACAGTGATTTGCGTAGGACGTACCTCCGCTGAGCCTCCCACGAACCGACGAAAGTGGCGACAATTGCGCAGATCGCAGCACCCGCTTCAAAGTGATCTGCGTAGGACGTACCTGCGCTGGGCCTCCCAGGAACCCACGAAAGTGGCGACAGTTGCGCATATCGCAGCCCCCCCAGGGGACAGGGAGGCCTCAAAGTGATCTGCGTAGGACGTACCTCCGCTGGGCCTCCCAGGAAGCCACGAAAGTGGCGACAGTTGAGCAGATCGCAGCCCCTCCAGAGGACAGGGAGGCCTCACAGTGATCTGCGTAGGACGTACCCCGCTGGGCCTCCCAGGAACCAACGAAAGTGGCGACAATTGCGCAGATCGCAGCCCCCAGGGACAGGGAGGCCTCAAAGTGATCTGCGTAGGACGTACCTCCGCTGGGCCTCCCAGGAACCCACGAAAGTGGCGACAGTTGCGCAGATCGCAGCCCCCAAGGGACAGGGAGGCCTCAAAGTGATCTGCGTAGGACGTACCTCCGCTGGGCCTCCCAGGAACCCACGAAAGTGGCGACAGTTGCGCAGATCGCAGCCCCGCAGGGGACAGGGATGCCTCAAAGTGATCTGCGTAGGACGTACCTCCGCTGGGCCTCCCAGGAACCCACGAAAGTGGCGACCAGATCCCAGGACAGGGACCTTGACGAACCTCCGCTGGCCTCCCAGGAACCCACGAAAGTGGCGTTGCGCAGATCGCAGCCCCGCAGGGGACAGGGAGGCCTCAAAGTGATCTGCGTAGGACGTACCTCCGCTGGGCCTCCCAGGAACCCACGAAAGTGGCGACAGTTGCGCAGATCGCAGCCCCGCAGGGGACAGGGAGGCCTCAAAGTGATCTGCGTAGGACGTACCTCCGCTGGGCCTCCCAGGAACCCACGAAAGTGGCGACAGTTGCGCAGATCGCAGCCCCGCAGGGGACAGGGAGGCCTCAAAGTGATCTGCGTAGGACGTACCTCCGCTGGGCCTCCCAGGAGCCCACGAAGCGGCGACAGTTGCGCAGATCGCAGCCCTCCCAGGGGACAGGGAGGCCTCAAAGTGATCTGCGTAGAACGTACCTGCGCTGGGCCTCCCAGGAACCCACGAAAGTGGCGACAGTTGCGCAGATCGCAGCCCCGCAGGGGACAGGGAGGCCTCAAAGTGGTCTGCGTAAAACGTACCTCCGCTGGGCCTCCCAGGAGCCCACGAAGTGGCGACAATTGCGCAGATCGCAGCCCCGCAGGGCACCGCGAACACAAGAGAGAAGAAGGAGGAGAGGGCGGGAGGTGAATACCACAGTGCTCTATTCAAAACGAGTGCCCAACACCAGGAGGGTTGGGACAAATAGTCAAACAATAGTCTGTGTACGATTTTCTGACACGGAGAAGTGGTCTGGGCTGCAGAGGTAGCCCGTTAAGGTGTTAGGCGAAAACCCGAGCAAGGCGCAATTGTCCGAGACGTCCGTACCCAAGACAACGAAAGCCCAAGAAGGAAGCCTTTTGTCACGTGGAATTGGTTGACCTAGTACTGAATCGGAGGCCCCCATTCGACAACCTCCCGATCCATCCACATATACTGTAATGCTCTGTAATGTACCCAGCTCCTGAAAGGAAGTCAGTGCTGTCAAAAGCCTGAACAGTGGAGGAGCGCAAGAAATTAGCAATGCTAAGGATATCTTAACAACGGGGAGTGCCCCAGGATCGAAGCACATTTTCCGTGTAGCTCTGGGTGGGCGTGAGAGGACTCCGCCTGCAGCTCTGGGGGGCCGCCTCTTCCATACTTGGAGTGCCAGGTGCCCACGGCTTCGTGGGGGTATGGTTCCCATCCCTGAGGTCCTCGTGTGGACTCAGGCCGCTGCCGTCGGCGAAGTAAACCCCGCCTCTCCATTGGATCCTGCTGCGTTGGTCTCCTCGGCTGTGTCGACCATGCTGAACTTGTGCGGTGGCTGGTCCTCCTCCGCGGGCTCCTCCGGTGCTAGTCTCGTTGTGCCCTTCTGCTGCTGTTTGAAAGAGTGGAACAACTTGACCTGGCCGGGCATGGATCCTGCTGCCGCTTGCCAGGCTGGTGGGGAGCTGCGCTGCTGTCCTGTCAAGGCTCGGCACGCTTTGAGCTTCGCATCCTTCAGGTCTGGCAGGTGATCTGGGCTGAGCGATCCCGCGCGAGCTGCCTGGGTTGCCTGTTGCTGCGAGGCTGGTACGCGATGGGCTGCTTCCACTGCTGCTTGAGCCGAAGCAGGAGAGGCCTTCTGAGAAGATCCAGAGGCTGATGCAGTAGCTGAAGTGGCCGCCGAAATAGAAGTCAATGGAATCTGAATGGTCGCCAATGCCTGTGTCAACTGGGCAATTTGTGCTGTCAGTTGAATCTGCCCCGTCTGAAGTTCGGCAATGACCTGCGGCATGGCAGGGGCTGAACTGGGAGCCGTCATGGCGCTGCCGCCGCCAGGGGTAGAAGCTCATGCTGGGCCTGGCTCGATCTGCATAGCCTCTGGTCGTTGATTGGGGCTGGTGAACCTCCATCTCCGCGGTGTACCAGGCGCGGAGGGTGGACCAGATGCTGCACGCTGGGCCGCCGAGGCTGCTGAGGCTGCTGCCACTTCGGCTTGCTGCTCCTCCTGGGATTGTAACTGTTTGAAATGACCGAGCAGAAGGGAGGCCTGCTCCGCGTCGCGTTGCCGGGTGGCACGCGCGGCGGCCGCGCGAGCCAGCGTGATCTTGGCCTCCTCCTCGGCTGTCTTGGCCTCCGTGAGACGCTTCAGGGCCCGCTCCAGATACTTCTCCTGGTTGGCCACTCTGTCTCGCGACGCGTAGGCGTGGATGTGCATGTACAGATAGACACTGTACTCGGTCTCGATGTGGCGCAACATCTCTGCTCAGGCTGCAAGAGCCCTCTTGCTGGACAACTGGGCTTCTAGAGCTGACAAGGTCGACTTGATCTGGGACCTGTAGGCTGCCAGCTCCTTGGTCCCGCACGGTGGGTCTACCCAGCACGAGTGTTGGCGGGCGTCTTCGGGGGAGGCTGGCATCAGCCCGTGCACAATAGACACTGGAGACGAATACTGACTCTTGGCTGGAGCTGGCTGCTCGGAAGAAGCACGTGAGCCTGTGCCCGTAGTAGGTGCTGGTGTTGATAGACCCCGACTCCCTGCAGACGTTCTGGGTCGGGATCTTCCTCTGGAACGGCCATGGCTGCGCTGCGGGGCTGGATAACAATGCACATACCATCGCGATGACTGCCAATTGACGGTGTTGCACGCTCCGCATCGCCAAGTGACGGGACCTGCTGAACGCCATGGTGGATCCGGTTCGCTGGGCATGCTGCTGCTGTGGTGCTGCTGCAGGAGAGCTTGGGCGGCCTGGACCCTCAGCCAGGTCCTTGCCTGGCTGCGAGCCGCCCTGGCTCTCCTGTGGCAGGCTGACTCTGGCGGTCGTTGGCCCCGAATCGCGCCGCTGGGCGCCGCCAGGCGCACCGCGGCGAGGGTGCCGCCCACGCGTCGCCGCGGGGCGCTGGGCAGCGCCAAGGCAGCCTCCTCGCTGCCTGGAGCGCGGCGTCGAAGCGGAACACGGATGGCCCGCGGCCAATGGCGGCGGCAGCGGGCCTGCGCGTTGCCGATGTCCCGAGGGGCGCGCAGCTACGGGGTAGCTGCACCCAGGGCCCCTAAGCCGGGACGGCGGCTGAGGAGGCAGGAGGCAGGAGGGAGGGAGGAGGGAGGGAGGGAGGGGGAGGGGGAGGGAGGGAGGGAGGGAGGGAGGGAGAGGAGGAGGAGGGAGGAGGAGGAGGAGGAGGAGGAGGAGGAGGAGGAGGAGGAGGAGGAGGAGGAGGAGTGACCCCTTCTCCGGGACTGGTTTTTCATCCTGGGTTATTTTCTGGCGGTCCCGAGGCCCGGTAAGGGCCCCTGGAGGCCGAAAACAGCGAAAAGCCTCACGTCGTGAGTTTTTCCCAACACGAGGGGGTCTGGGGCTCCTGCCCCCCCTAGACGAGCCGTCTCCCTTTCGCCCTTCCCGGAGCGCCTCGAGGCGGGCGCCCCCCAGGACGAGGGGGGCCGGAGGCGTCGCGGGCTCATCGGCTCCGTGCTGGGGCGCCTGGACGTCGCACTCCTTCATGAGCCACGTGGAGGCTGGGGCCATCGTCGGTCCGATCCCCGAGGGCTCGACGAATCTCCTCCCATCGACTTGCGGGGCTCAAGCCAGATAGATCGAGGTGGCTCCAGGTAAATTTAGGCACACGCGGCTCGCAAGTCCAGGGTACACCGAAAGATCTCCAAGGGATCTGGAGCAATCCGTGGAAGTCTCAGCGCGAGGAGAGGAACAGCAGAAGTCGTTCAGCCCTTAACGGTCCGAGGTCGAGGTCCGAGGTCTTGGTGGGATCGAGGTTTGGAGGTTTGCGGGACTTTTCGTCGGTGTTCAGCTGTTTTCCAGCCTCAGGGCACCTTCTAGCAGCTGCGCCTCGTCAAGAGGTTTCCAGTGGTGTCCAGATCGTCCCGAACGGCCGCCGGAGGCCCCGAAAACTGCCAGGCGTCGAGAAAAGGAGTGAGGACTAAGGTCAGGAACGTTTGCTTGGCTTGTCGCGCCGCTTGTGCTGGCCCAGAACGCAAATCGGTTCCCCAGGCCCGGGCTTCAGCGTCCTGAGCCTGCCCCGGCCTCCCGCCCCGCGGTGCAGAGCGACACGCTGTCAGCTCTCAAAATAACCACCCCGAATTGTGTCACACGTTCCATCGTATGGCGCTTGGGTTGGCTCCAGAAGCCCCCGCCCCACCACCGGGGGAAAACAGGTCGGTGGGTCTTGCACCCCCCCTCCCTGGGAAAATCATCGGGTGAATCCACAACCCACCCCAGGCGATGACGACGACGCACGACGCCGAAGACGACGACGCACGACGCACAACGCATGACGCACGACGCACCACGCACGACGCACGACGCACAACGACGACGCCAGCGACGACGCCGACTACGAGGACGATGATGACGACGATGACGCCGACGACGACGACGCCGACGTCGACAATGACGACGACAACGACGACGACGCCAACGACCACGACGACGACGCAGCCGACGTCGACGACGACGACGCCCGACGCATGCCGCACGACGCACAACTCACGACGACGACAACGACGTCGACGACGCCGACGCCCACGCCCACGCCGACGCCGTCGCCGCCGACGACGACAACGACGGCGACGACGACGACGCCCGCGACGACGATGACGACGCCGCCGCCGACGACGACGATGACGCCGCCGCCGCCGACTCCGAGGACGATGATGACGACGACGACGCTTCGGCGAACACGACGACGCCTTGGACGACGACGATGACGACGCCGACGATGACTCCGCCGACGACGACGACGACGGCGACGGCGACGACGCCAACGATGACGACGATGACGACCACAACGACGACGACGGCGACGCCTGCGACGACGAAGCCTATGATGACGCGGACGACGACGACGCCGAACGCACGACGCATGACGAACGACGCACGACGCACGACGACGACCACGACGACAACGACGGCGACGACGCCACCGCCGACGGCGACGCCGACGCCGACGCTTACTCCGACGCCGACGACGCCGACGACGTCGACGCCGACGACGACGGCGACGCCGACGACGACGACGCCGACGACGACGTTGCGCCGCCGCCGACGCCGACGCCGACGCCGACGACGCCGACGCCGACGTCGACGACGACGATGGTGACGTTGACGTGGACGCCGACGACGACGCCGACGTCGACGACGACAACGGCGACGACGACGACGACGACAACGACGACGACAACGACGACAACGACGAAGAGGACGAAACCGACTTCGACGACGACGCCGACGGCTAGTAGTATAGAGTTCGCGTAGAGTGAATAATCAGAGGAGTTAAATAGAGGGTGGAGTATAGAGTAGAGTAGGGGCACAGTAGCGTAGAGCAGGGTACTCTGGGATACGTCATTGTAAAGTAGGGTAGGGTAGAGTACGGCAGAGAATAGTAGAGTAGAGGAGAGGAGAGGAGAGTAGAGCAGAGTAGAGGCGACGACGGCGACGGCGACGCCGACGACGGTGCCGACGGCGACGACGACGATGATGGCGACGCCGACGACGACGACGCCGACGACGACGCCGACGACGCCGACGACGCCGACGACGCCGACGACGCCGACGCCGACGCCGACGCCGACGCCGCCGACGCCGACGCCGGCGCCGACGATGCCGACGATGACAACGACGAAGACGACAACGACGACGACAACGACGACGACAACGACGACGACAACGACGACGAAGACGACGAAGACGGCGACCAAGACGACCACGACGATGACGAGCAGAGTAGAGCAGGCGCAGAGTAGAGTGCAATGGGAGTAGGGCAGAGGGCAGAGTAGAGTCGAGAAGAGAAGGATGGGACATGGTAGCGCAAAGAAGAGTAGGGTCGAGCATAGTCGAGTATAGTAGGGAGTTGCAGGTCAGGTTAGGGAAGGTGGAGGGAGGAGTCGAGTAGAGGAAAGTATATGGGTAGAGTATAGGTAGAGTAGTGTAGGATGAGAGTGGGGCAGCGCAGAGTAGGAGCAAAGTAGAGCCGAGTATAGTATGTTTGGGCACGGTATGGTAGAGTATATAAGGTAGAGTAGCGTAGGGGAGAGTCGAGTAGAGTAAAGTATCTGAGAGTAGGGTAGAGAATGAGTAGAATAAAGCAGGGTAACAGTACAGTAGAGTAGTATAGCATGTTCTATGATGGCAGGGTAAAGTGTGGTAGCGCAGCTGAGAACAGACACATACTAGAGCAGGATTGAGTAGAGCAGAGTCGGGTCGAGGAAAGCAGAGCAGGAGCAAAGTGGAGTAGAGTAGAGCAGGTTAGGGCACTGTAGAGTAGAGTAGGGGAGAGTAGAGTAGGGCAGAGCAAAGTCGAGGAAAGCCGAATATAGAGTAGAATACAGGTAGAGCAGCTTCGAGCATCGTCGGGCCACAATAGGATTCCTGAGGGGCTGCATCGGACCCCGGGCGCGTCCTATCAGAGCAGGCGCCTGGCGCAGGCGGTGGCGACAGGTGCGCGGCCGCCGCCGACGTCGTCGTCGTCGTCGTCGTCGTCGTCGTCGTCGTCGTCGTCGACGTCGTCGCCGTCGTCGTCGTCGTCGTCGGGTCTGGACCCCCCCTTATTTTCCTGCCCGGGGGGGGGGGGGCGTTCTGGACCTTCCCCCACCAATTTTCCCGGCGGGCGGGGAGCGGGATTCCGGACCGCCCCCCCCCAATTTTCCCAACCCTCCTGCGTTGGGTTCTCGTTTTGAATAGAGCGCTGCGGTCTCCATCCTCCTCCTTCCTCCTCCTCCTCCCCGCCTCCCTTCTCCTCTCCACTCCTGTGCGCCTGATGGCTTGCCTGTGGGGCCTGCGAAGTGTGAAGTTGGCATGCTATGGGAGCTGCGATCTGCGAAACTGTCGCCACTTTCGAAGGCTGCTGGGGGGACCAGCATACGTAGTGGGTACCCGCCGCGGACTCAGACTACGGTCTGCGAAATTGTCGCCAGTTTCGAGGGCTGGACCAGCAAAGTGGGTACCCGCCGCGGACTCTGATTAGACCTCGCCATTCCTGGGGGGCTGCGGTCTGCAAAGCCGTCGCCAGTCTCGAGGGCTGCTGGGCGGACCAGCGTAGTGGGCACCCACCGCGGAGTCAGATTAGGCTTTACCGTCCCTAGTGGGCTGCGATCTGCGAAACTGCGAAACTGTTGCCACTTTCGAGGGCTGCTGGAGGGGCCAGCGTAGTGGGTACCCGCCGCAGATCTGATCCCTGGGGGGCTGCGATCTGCGAAATTGTCGCCACTCTCGAGGGCCGCTAGGGGGGCCAGCGGAATGGGGTCCCACTCAGAATCCTGTTAGACCTCGCCACCCCTGGGGGGCTGCGATCTGCAAAATTGTCACCACTTTCGAGGGCTGCTGTGGGGGCCCGCGGAGTGCGGAACCACCCAGATTCACATAAGACCTCGTCATCCTTGGGGGGTGCGATTTGCGAGGCGGTTGCCACTTTCGAGGTTTGACCTCGCCATCGCTAGGGGGCTGCGACCTGCGAATCTGTCGCCACTTTCGAGGGCTGTTGGGGAGTACAGCGAGTGACGTCCTTCGTAGATTCAGACGAGACCGTCCTGGGCCTCGCCATCCCTGGGGGGCTGCGATATGTGAAACTGTCGCCCATTTCGACGGCTGTTGGGGGGTCCAGCGGAGTGACGCACCTCCCAGATTCAGATTAGACCTCGTCATCCCTGGGGGTGCTGCGATCTGCGAAACTGTCGCCAGTTTCGACGGCTGCTTGGGGGGTTCAGCGTAGCGAGGCACCACCCAGAGTCAGACTAGACCTCGCCATCCCTGGGGGGCTGCGATCTGCGGAACTGTCGCCACTTTCGAAGGCTGCTGCTGGTCCAGCGGGGCGCTGTCGCAGGCCGCCCGCAGACCTGGCGGCGCGCCTTCGAGTGTTTAGGTCCCGCATTGAGAAGTCCAGGAAGGAAGCAGAGGGAATCTGGCGGGCGAGCTAGGCCTCGCTCGCATCTTGCACTAACTGTAAGTTCAATCCTTTTGTCGAGCGCCGCAGCGTCATGGCGCAGACAGCAATTTATTTTTGTCCCGCACTACCGACAAAAGCAACACTCTTCGGCCTCCTCCCGTCACTTTCGCCGTCGTCCTCTGCCCCCTGCCACCTTGTCTCTGCTGCTGCCGCGCTGACGGTTCGGCCCCCCGCGCGCCCTTGTCCAGCGTCCGTTCCCGCCCCCATGTCTCCCTCAAGCCTGGGCCCTCTCTCCTCGTCCTTCTGTTGTTGTCCTGTGAACCGTGCCACGTAAGCGCACCCCATGTAGCTCGCACAACATGTAACGGCGCCTGCACTGTCAGTCCTGGCAAGTTTGGGCCAAATTCTCTTGTCACTTGATGCTCATGGGTTGGGTACGTCGCAGGGTTGTTTTATGGGTGGGGTGGCGGGGGGGCGGGTTTTCTCGGGGGGGTGGGGGGTCGGCCCCCTAGGTTCTTACCGGGGGTTGGGCTTCGGTGGGGGGGTCGGTGTGTGTGGGGGGGGGGGGGGGCAGGGGCCCCCTTGTTTCTGATCCACCCCTAGAAGTTGTTCAGGGGGGAGAGGGGTCCAGTGACGGTGAATCGCGCTCCTTGATCAGACGGGACATTCCGACTGAGGGGCCCTACCGCGCTCTGCGCTGCGACATCAGCGCTTTAACGCGTTTGCGTGTGTCTCCCCGGCCTTCCGTGTTTCGCGACGGTCGCGCACCAAAGGCCACGTTGGAACGGGTCGGGCGCAGCTGATCAGGTTGTTTTGGGACGCCGGCGGGGTGCTATGATGGTCGCGGCGCCAAACACATCCTCCAGACCCGTTGGTTCTCAAGGCTCCCGGGATCACGTCGTGTCAAATGTTTACGGTTTAGCTTAGACCAGGAAGCTGGATGACGCGGCCGGCTTGGGCGAGAAACGTCTTAAGTATGGACGTCGTCAGGTGTCTTTACAGCAGTTGGCCCTTCTTTGGCCGGGGCAGCATTTGTATCCAGCGCGTGGTCCCCCCATGTTCGGAGGCGACGATCCGGGCGGACATTTCAGGGGCAGGCATTACATGCATTTGCCGGGGAACCTTGCCGAAGACGTGGGCCAACGGCGCCCCTGGATACATGTTTTGCCCCCCCCCCCCCCCCTCCGCCCTGGCGATTCGCTCCCCGATCATCGCCTCCAGCATGTTCCTCACGTGAATCCAACCCTGTGTGTGTTCCAGCTGGCCGTTGTTCTTCCCACAGTCGTTTGAAGCAGCGGGAAGACGGGGGTGAGGCAATCCCCGCTGCTGCCCTTTTCGCTGACCCTTGCCTGGGAGCCACGCTGGCCCACCCTCTTCTCAGCCTCCTCTCCCCCCTCCTCGTCATCGCTTTCCTTTTCTGCATGATCCTTCACCTCCTTGTCCTTTTGCTGGCTCCCACCTGCCTCCTCATGCCCCCTCTCCCTCCTGTGGACATGGGCCTGGGAGCTGGCTGCCACGTGGCCTGAGCGGATGCCCAGCCCTGGCTAGTCGCTGGCCTGGGCTGTTGCCGAGTCGGGCCTCCCCGGTCGTCGTCGCATCTCGGGCAATGCCGAAGAGAGGCGACACCACCGTCACCACCACCACCACCAGGGGGGGCCACCTCCAGCGAGAGATTCCACGATGACCCCCCCGAGCTGGAGATGGGGGATGTCTCGAGTGATGGGGGGGGAGACCTACAGCACCAGGAGGATCCTCCCTGGCACCTCGTGCTGGTGGTGGTCTCGCCTTTTGCTGTTCCTACACTGGGAAGGTCACCAGCTACCCCTCGGGATCGAGGATCGAGGAGGCGAGAGGATCGAGGACCGAGGAGTGTTGGGACGGTTTTGGGCGTCTCTGGCACCCGGGGCTATGGGACCGGTTTCTCGAGGAGTGGGCGACACCACCAGTGATGACCCCCCCCCTTGGCATTAGATGGGCTTTGAAGGTGTTGGCGCACTCACGGAGGTTCTCCGCGCCACTTTTGGCCGCAGCCCGAATAATTTTGCCAGGATGGACCCCAGGAGGGGTCTGGGCCTGCTGGACGCGGCTTGGATAATTCTGCCAGGATGGACCCCAGGAGGGGTCTAACCAGTTTTGCCATGTTTGTGCCGCGTCTAGGCGTTGGCTGTTAAGGTTGAGCACCATCTGGGTCTCGTCCCGGGTCCAAGGGTTGAAAGAAAGTGCAAATGATGCTTCCTGCGATGATAGACGCGAAGACGACGACAGTAGGCTTATCGTAACTATGTGGCGTCGACGTAGCGAACGCCCTAGTTGGTCCTGGGCAGATGAGGGCTGTGGACTTTTGCCCAGGAGCGGCTCGGGCAATGGGGGAGACACATAAATCCCGAACGCGCGGCTAGGATCGTTTGGCTTGTTTCCGAAGCTACCAGTACAGAACAGAAGCCCGCCGTTGGCGCTGACTGTAATGACTAGGTGGCTCATGCGCGATGCACAGCCAGTGTCATCAGACCCCCGATCCTGCATTGCACGATGGCGATGGTGATCGTATGCGTCTGGTCAGCATCAGGAGCAGCAGGGAGGGTGCAGGTGGTGCATCTGAGAGCCGCTATGATGCAGGCGGGGAACAATAGAGCTCTAAGGGCAGGAGGATGCGGATAAGGAAGGAGGAAGATGGACGGGGACCGGGGAGGACGGCGATCACGAAGGATGGTTGAGGTCGAGGACGGGCAGAGGGGAGCAAGGGGATAAGAAGACACGGGGCAGGGGGCGGGGGAGGGGGATGAGGACGATGGACAAAGAATGGGGGGGAAGCGGTTGAGGAAGGGATGAGGAGGGAGTAGAAGGGGGGGGGGAGGGAGGAGGAAGGGCAGAGCAAGGAGGAGTCGCAGGAGGAGGAGGAGAAAGAGCAGCAGGAGCAGCAGGAGGAGGAGGAGGAGCAGCAGGGAGGACGACGACGCCGTCGTCGACGACAAATCGATGGCCGCCGCTGGCGGATCACCCCCCCCAGAGGCGTCGGACTCCGCCCGGGAGACGTGGGGCGTCCCGACGTCCCGTGCCCGCTTCGAGGTCCTCCCTGACTAATAACTACCACGGGCAACTGGTCGGATGTTTCACCAATTCGAAGGCTTCGCCTGATCTGCTTCCGTTGCCATCATTCTGAATGTTTCCCCCGCCTCCTGCCTCTCCTCTGCTCCCCCCCTCCCTCTCCTCCTTGCCCATATTTGCGTGGGCCCTACACCCCAAATGCTCGTGCCCTAATCGTTTGGGCCACATCATCCCTCTTGCCACGACGTGCAGACAGAGTGCACGCGAATAGATTGTCCGACCTGCGGCGCGCACCCTTGTGTTTCACGACAAAATTTCAAGAGCGCCTTTCGGCAAGCCAGGAAGGCAATCGCGAAACACACCATGTGTGAACAACACATTTTGGGGGGCACTGTTTTGGGCAGATTTTGGCAGCGTGCGGGGCCAGCCTAACTGTCTAGACCCAGCCTTATGGTCGCCTTTTTCCTCCTCCCCTCCCCGTCCTTACCTCGCGCTACTCAGCCGTTCTGGCACAGGCGCGCCTGTGCTTGCAAACGCGTACTTCAGAGCGGCTCGTGCTTGCGAGCCACTCGACGGTCTTTACACGCTATCGCCTTCCGCCGCCCCGTCGGCGGCCGATGGTGCCATCGCCCGATGTCTTGCCAGGTCCGAGAACCGCCTACTGGGGGTGCGGATGCGGCTGCTGGGACGGTTGGGCATCACGGATCAAGTGCAGGATGTGCAACAAAGCAGCGCCGCACCGCGTCGTCGTCTCGGCCCGTCAGGCAGCCGCGCAGGTACAGCCCCCAGCCGTCTCCACCAAGCCACGCGGTCCCAAGAGTGCTTGGGCCAACGGGCCGCCGCGGTCCGACCAGCTGCGCCTCATCCAGGAGCTGCGGGTGCAAGTGGCCGAGCTCAAGGGCGAGCCGGCGCCATCCACACCGCCGTGGTACCGAGGCCAGTCCCCGGCGCCAGCTGGCGGCAAGGACTCCAACGGGAGCAACACGCAGGCTACGGCAGGCAGCAGTGGCGGCATCACGTACAAGGATGTCGTCGTTTTCATGTCCAAGGCGGGACTGGAAACTACTAGCGTGGAGGCGGCCGAAGCAGCGGAGCTCGCCAAGGCTGGCGAGGCCAAGCAGCCGACGGCACAGGCTCAACGTTGGCGAGTCGAGAACATCCGCAAGAAGATCGTCAAGTTGGAAGGTCGGGCCTCCGCAATCGAGGATCAGAAGCAGGCCCCCGACAAGGAGCTTGCAGAGCTCAACGCGACGCTCGCTGCGGAGCGGACCAAGCTCGAGGCGGGCGAGGCCACGCCCGTCAAGCTCCAGGCTAGCGAGTTCGGCGACCCGCTCAAGACCGCCAGCGCTGGCCTGGACGAGGACGTGCTGGCGGACCAGCAGGCCAAGGACTCCCTCGCGGTCCTGGCTCGGTTCCAGGGAGAGGCCAACGAGCGGCGCCGTGCCGCGGCGGTCCCTCCTGCGGCTCTTCGTGGTGCTGTTCAACTTGGTGCTGCTGCTGGCGGGGCCCCTTAGGGCGCAGCTGCAGTACCAGCAATCGACGGAGATGGAGACGACATCGAGATGGGCCTGTTCGTTGGGGAGGACTTCGAACAGAAGCAGGCCGACTTCAACCCTGCGACAGCTGAGCTCAGAGCCGCGTCCCCCGATCAACAGGAGGCGGCGAAGCGGAATTTTGCCGTGGCCATGGCCGCCTTGGGGGTCAATGGCCCGCTGGGGCTGCCGCTGAGGCCGCTGGTGGCGCCGCTGGCCCGCCGTTGCTGGATGCGCAGTTTGGTCGGTCCCCAGACGTTGCGTTTGGGTCGGCCTACGGACGCTGCGCTTCCCCGCTGGGAGGAGCACCAGGAGGCAGTGCAGGAGGAGGAGGTGGAGGCTTCGCTCCTCCGGAGGCCGCTGGGGCTGCCGCCGGAGGCGTTGGGGGCGCTGCTCGCTCGCCATGGCGCTGCACCTCCCCACCCGCAGGAGGACATGCAGGAGATGGAAAAGGTGGAGGAGGACCAGGAACACCAGGAGGTAGATGAGGAAGAGCAGGAGGCTCTGCTCCTCAGGGGGTCGCTGGGGCTGCCGCAGAGGCCTCTGGTCGCGCTGCCAGCTCGCCGTGGCTGGATGCGCAGTCTGGTCGGTCCCCAGACGTTGCGTTTGGATCGGCCTGCGGGCGCTGCACTTCCCCGCTAGGAGGAGCACCAGGAGGCAGTGCAGGAGGAGGAAGTGGAGGCCTCGATCCTCCAGAGGCCGCTGGGGCTGACGCCAGGGCCGCTGGGTGCGCTGCTCGTTCGCCACGGCGCAGCATTTCCCCACCCGCAGGAGCAGAGACGCAGGCCCCAGCGTCGTTTCCGCCCAGACGCAGGCCCCGGCGTCGTTTCCGCCGGCCGCGGCGAGTGACTCGCTATACGGCATCTCGCTGTGGACGGCGAACTCATCGACATGGGGCTCCACGCGGACGCTGCTGGAGTGAGCGGGCGGCAGCGCGTGCAACTTCCTACCCGATGTGGTATGCGTGCGGGAGCACAGGATCAAGACCCAGGCGCTACTGGCATCAGCGGGGCGCCGGCTCGCGAAACGCGGCCTCTCTGGGACCGCGCGGCTGGCGGCCTCGACGGGCGCGGGGCCGCTGAACTCCAGCGGGGTGGTCGGCGTCGCGAGCAGGGTGACATCCATGATGGAGGCTAGACTGGACGACATCTACTTGCCAAGCCACACAGTGGATGCAGCGCGGTTGAATGTCGGTATGTCGGTCTGGCTACACCGTTGCACGTCGTCACCCTGTACTTGGTCACCAGCGCCGGCCTCAATGTGGAGAACGGCGGCATCCTGGGCAATCTCATGGAATTCGTGGGATCGCTGGGCTCGTGCTAGGCGATTTAACATGCTGCCTGAGCTGCTGGCAGAGTGGGCCTCCAAGGCCAAGGGCGTCCTACTCTCATCTGGCGCACCGACCTTCGGTGGGCGCGAGATCGACTTCGGCATCTGCTCGACCGTTCTGGCCCGCTTCGTAAAGGCAGTTGCGCCGATAGAGGGCTCCACGCAGCACAGCCGCATGCCTGTTCCCGTGCGTCTGGCGGGGCTTGGTAGGCAGGCCCGAGAGACGCGCGCCCTCTTTCCTTTCACGTTTCCGATCGACAAGCCCCCTCCGGAGCGCTCAGCACCGGTGGAGACGGTTGTTTCCGACTGACCTTGGGGCGTTGGGGCGGCGCTCCTGACTGATCCCGGCGAGGCGCGCGAGACCTGGTCTCGCCATGCGGAAACTTACCTCGCTGAGTTTCACAGCGTGTCCAGGATCAGCGCGCCTGCTGCGGACGTGCAGAAGACTTGTAGACAGCCAGCGAGCCCCTGCAGCAGGCTTGGGACAGGCCGCTCAAGCAGCATTCGATTCTCGAGTTTAAGCAGCGGGCCAGGTTCTGGTCCTACTCGGCGGCCTCTCGCCCGAGCGAGATCGCCCCTGCTGCCGGAGCCCGACGCTGCCCGGGCCTCGCCGCTCTGAAACGGCAGCGCGCTGCGGTGAGCAGCAGGGTTCTGCGCAGCTGGCCCGGAGAGGGGCCGCCATCGGAACGGGGGGGCTGCTCCCGCGGCGACCTGGCACGGCTCCTCGGCTCCGGCGACCCCGCCGGCAGAGGCAAGGCCCCGTAGTTTGCTGAAGCCGCTCGTTTGCACCTTTGCAGACTCCAGAGGGCTGACAGAGCTGAAGCGGCCAGAGCTTGGCGAGAGTGGGCTCCGTCTTCGGTTCAAGACGGCGGCAGTCTCGCCTTCCGCTACGCGCGCGACTCGGTCCAGGAGTCGGCCCATCGCACTGAGGACACGGACGAGTCCCCTGCCTTGCCCATAGTTGGGCAAGAGGCCTTCAAGCAGATCATGGCGACGTAGGAACCACTCTGGGTCAACCCCGATAGGGCGGATGAGCAGCGCCCTAGCCTCTGGGATATCTCGCGTCCTGGAGGCGATGATGGCGGCACACCTGCGGTGGCAGCCTGTGGCGGTAGCGCGGCCGCTGTTCAGGAAGGCTGCGACGCTGGTGCTGCGCAGCAGGCGTGTGAACTTCGTGACGACGTCGGTTTCCGTGGCACTATGGGTCCATTTGCGGAGCTCCTGCCTCTGACGTTGGAAGAGTTGGACAGAGTTATCTACAGCCAGTCGGCACGCGCCGGCCTAGGGCGGGACCAGTTTCACCCTCGGCAGATGTCCCAGTGGACCTCTGGCTGCCGTTGGTGTTTTTTCCTGAACAAGCCAAACCCTCCAGGAGGTGCCCGCCCGATCATCTTGTTCTCCCTGTGGACTCGCGCGTGGTCGAGGCGTCGTCAGGTCGTCGCGCGTCGATGGGAGCGGACCCTCCTTAACCCTGGCGTTGCCCTGGCGTTGTCCAAGCTTCTGGTGCGCACTCTGCTGCGCAAGCTCCATGGGCTGTATCCTTCAGCTCATTTTCAGAACTTGGTTGATGACTACTTCTTGGAAGCCCTCGGCACGGCTGAGCAAGTTATTAGTCAGTTCCTTGAGGTCATGACGGCCTTTGGTGAAAGGGCTGCAGCTGAAGAGTTCCCAAGTGAACTGTGGCACGACTGGCTTTCTCGCTTCTTCGGCCGACCTGGCCATCGCATTAATCGATAAGTGGCCTCTCGCGTCTGACGACCGCTTGACGGGCGCGAGGTGCCTGGGCGCAGATGCCAATGGCGACTCGGCCCGCCGCGCATGCGAGCAGGACAAGCGGCTGGCCAACGCCAACCGGTCGCCAGCAAGGTCCAAGCCCTGCGGGCGGCTGGAGCCAGCGTCTGTACCATAATGAACGGGGTCTCCTACGGCGACGGCGGCGCGGGGGAGCGCGGCGACGGGGATCTCGGATCTCAAGTTGCATGGATTGCGACTGTCCGCCCTGCGTGCGGGAGGCCGCACCCCATCAGGCACTTTGGTGGGCCTTCGCCTTCGCGCTCCCCCTCGAGGCGCGTTTTTGTGACCCCTGGGTGGTCCACGCGGTCGAAGTGGAGAAGCATTGGGCCTTGGGCAACGCCAGGCCTTGGGCGCACTGCGTGGACCCAGGTCAGGTTGCACAGCTCTGTATGGCGCGCATGGGCACCAGGATGCCTGACGCCGTCGCCCTAGGTTTCCAGGGCCTCACTTTTCGATGCCTGAATCCTCGCCAGGCTTCATCTGTGCCCGTGTCAAGGAGGCGGCAGTGTTGGCCTCAGACGTGGCGGCCCTGGGTAGGCTCCCAGGCGCCAGGTCTCCTGCCCTCCACCGGGGGCCTCTCGAGCATTTGCTGCATAAAAAAGAGCGGTGTCTGGACCAAGCATCACAAGGCGATAACTCGTAGTCTTCTTGAAGGTTCGTTCTGGCCCCAGGCTAGGATCCACAAGCGCGGGGAGGCTCAGCACGGCAGGCGTTCGTTGTGCGGTGGCCCCGGGATCCTGCAGCACAGGTTCTCCGCATGTCCGTGCATTGAGGTTCATTGCAGAGACGAGTGCCCGAAGCGCGCACGCGAGGCTGCCGCCAGGATGCAGGCAGCAGGTGATATTCTGAAGCGATTTGTTTTGCAGTGGCTTGTTCCCTTCGGCTGCCAGGTGTTTTCCTGTCCCCGAGGCGCGGGTCGATGATCAGTTGATCTGGATCGGGGCCTCCGCGGGCTGGCAGGTCTCAGGGGCCGTTTTTGTGCACGGTAGCGCGTTTCACTACCGCTTGTCGGGCCTCTCCAGGGCTGGTTGGGCGATCGTCCAGATCGACCGCGATGGCTTCCTAGTTGGATGAGGTGTTTGGCGTGGCCCCCCGTAGCTACGCGCCAAACCAAGAGGCGCGCGACGGGGAGGACAGAGCGTTTCAGGTGCTAGCTGAGTACTCCGAATGGAACCCCGAGGACCCCTTAACTGTCTACTCGGGCAGCGCTGGTTCGATTAGCTGCGCCACGGATCTGGGGGCCGCCCTCGGCCCCATGAGTGCGCGGAGCCACTTCTGAGTGGTCTGGTGGGAAGGGATCTGATGGCCCGCGTCCACAAAATCAAAGCTCACTCTGCGTTGGCTTCAGCTACCACTGACCATGAGGAATGGCTCTTTCAAGGCAACCGAGAGGCCGACACGTGGGCGAAACAAGGGGCTCTCAGGTGGCAGGTTACCCCCCCCAGCAACTCGCGTTTGTACAGGGAGTCGAGGCGATGGCCTGCGACGCTATCAGGTGGCATGCGAGGGCCCAGCAATTGTTCTCTGATAAGGGGGTTCTGTTGACTCTGAAGGGGTCATTGGGACCTCAGGTGTCTCGCTCGATCTTTCTGCCACTGCGTGGGAGGAACTGGGAAGTCTTGCTCGCGAGGAGGGGGTGGGGCCCTTTGAAGGCGTGGAGCTTGGGGGCTCACGACCGCAGGTGGCGCTGGCCGCCCTGCTGGGCTCACTCGCGTGCGGCTTACCCTCGGTGCGGCATTTCTGTGCCCGAATTGGACGACTGGGCGGTTGCTCAGCCCCACGGATTTGTCTCCCCCGCTGCAGCTGTCGAGCTGGATAGGGCCCGTCGGTTAGGTGCCGTTGCTCTGCGGGGAGGGGGTTTCCGCCCCACGTAGTCTGAACAGTCACCTCCCGCTCCATTCCCCCGCCCCCTCGGATCCCTCCCTTTCTTCCCCTCACCTCCCCATCCCTTCCCCTCCTGCTCCCTCCCACCTTTCCTCCCCCATCGTCCTCTCCTCCTCCAGGTTCATCCACCCTCCTGCCTCTTCCGCCTCCCCTATCCTACTCCCTCCCCAGCCTACCTCCCTACCCCCCTTGCCCTTCTCCCCCTCTTCTCCCCCCTCCCTCCTCCCTTCCTTTCCCCTCCCCCATGTGGTGTGCTCGCGCCGCGTCGACGCGGTGGTGCCGCCAGGGCGATCGTTCAAGGTTGAACACCGTCAGTGGTCCTGATGTGGAGCGACCTGCGCTGCTGGCAAGCCACGATGGTTCAAGGCTGAACGAGTCGCGCGGCGTCAGAAGCAAGGATAGAAGGAAGGAGCACTCCGACCCCCATCATTTGCTTTTACTGAACGGCGTTGGGCGGTTACTAAATTGCCTTCCCCCTTCGATTCCTTTCTTAGGAGCGTTTGAGAAGCGGCTTCGCTTGTTGGGGTGGTGATTATGATGGTGGTTCTTCTGCCTTCTACAGAAGCCAACGCGGAGTCGTCACGGAAACGCGCCCGCCGTGCTTCCCTCCCCACCCTCCCCTGCCTCCCCTTCCCCCCGCGCCCGCCCCGAGGTTCTGGAACCAGACTCCGGGGGCAGGGTGCTGGCCTACGGCGAGGCTGGGCGAACAGCAAAACGCTGCACAAGCGCATAAGCCCTCGGAGACCCGCGCCAACCCAAAGCGTCTTCGCGGGCCTTCGAAAGCATGTGTTCAAGCGCTTCATTGCTTCTCTGGAGGCCCCCTTCGTGCACCTGGGCGACGGGCTGGGGCCGCTCGGCTCCATCGTGGAGTCCGCGAAGGCCCGCCTTGCTGCCGGGGGGGTGGATCAGCTTGCGGAGGGGGACGGGAGGTTTGGGGGGCGGCCGTGTCTGGCCGTAACAAGCGAGAACCGCTTCATTTTGAGGATGAGGAGGAGGAAGACGAGGAGGAGGAGGAGGAGGAGGAGGAGGAGGAGGAGGAGGAGGAGGGGAGAGGAAAAAGGCGAATGGAGAGAGGAGGATGCAGGCTAGGTGCCTGGAACTTAAAGAAAACGGCCCCATTGTGTTTTGCGCCATCAAAAGACGGAGCTGCTTGCACAGGAGGAGGCCGGTGGCGGATTAGCAGAAGAAAAATGAGCAGGATGTGGAGGGAGAAGGACGAGGAAGGAGCAACAGCAGTTTGAGCTGGAGTGGGAGAAGCGGGGGGAGCAGGATGACTAGGGCAAGGCGGGGAAGGGGGTAACAACGATGAGGACTCGCATCCAGAGACGGGTCCCTCGCTGGGGCGAGAGCGCCATACTGAACGACGGGGCCAAAGCCCCGACCCAAAAATGAGGCCCGCGCTAGAGCGGGATCACACATGTGAAACTGCGAAAACAATCGGATTGTAAAACGATTCATACGGAACCACAAGTACCGAAATCCTGCATCGCCGAACAACTCGCAGAAAGGACCGTGCATCTTCGGGTCAGAACCGGGGGAGAGAAGCGGGAGGTACCCATATCCTGCGCGTCAAAGCAATACCTGGGTCCAGATGTCTTGTCTCGATGTTCCCCGCCCCCGCCCACACACACATGAGAAGTGGAGAGCACACTGAGGCCTTCGGGGGTTGGGCTGGGGTGGCTTCCTGCGGGCCGGGGCGAGGCGCCCCCCTCGCGCAGCGCGCGCGGCCCCGCAGCCGACGAGGCGCCACGAGGCGCGCAGGGGCGGGCAGGCCCCTTTTGAGAGCACCGCGGCGACGTACCGAGGCGACGACGCCATGAAACTCCGGCGCGCCCAGGCTCAGAGCGAGCGCTTTTGTTCCCCAGCCAGCCTGTGATGTCGGGTCCTCGTTTTGAAGGGGCGGTCCCCGCGTGCCTCCTCTTCTCCTCTCCTCCCTCCTCCTCCTCCCTCCTCCTCCTTCCCCCTTCTCTCTCCTCTCGTCACCGGCGCCCAGGCTTGCTCTTGGTTACCGCATTCAGCGCAACCGCAATCGCAATCTCTCCTCTCGTCATCCGCTCACCTTGGCACACCCTTCACACGCCTCGTGGCCCCATAGGGAGCTCGGTTGGCCCTTTTGGCTCGCTCGCTCCTTTGCCGCTCAGCGCCCCGTGTTCAGGCTTTCGCCTGCCGCCTGTGCCCCGCGGCCGCCAGCAGTGCGGCTGCCTGACCTGAGCTCGCGCCGCGCGAGCCTGGCACACAGCTTTTTTCAAAAGGTCCCAGTGGTGCAATTCGCATGGCGGCGCCGTCCCATTTTGCACACATCTCACACGCTTCGTGGTCCCATAGGCAGCTCCAGGTTTAGGTTCCAGTGGTGCAGCAGCTCGCATGGCGGCGCCGTCCCGTGTTGGCACACCTCTCACACGTTTCGTAAGTTCATACGGACATCAATCTAAGATCCCAGTGGCGCAGTTCGCACGGCGGCGCAACCCCATGTTGGCACACCCCTCACACGTTTCGTGGCCCCATAGGATGCTCCACCTAAGGTCCCAGCGGTGCAGTCCACATGGCGGCGCCGCCCAATTTTGGCACACCCCTTACACGCCTCGTGGCTCCATAGGGAGCTCCACTTTAGGTACCAGTGGTGCAGTTCGCATGGCGGCGCCGCCCCATTTTGGCACACCCCTCACACGCTTCGTGGCCCCATAGGGAGCTCCAGCTTAGGTCCTGGTGGCGAACTGCGCGTGGCGGCGCCGCCCCATTTTGGCACGCCCCTCACACGTTGTCGTGGCCCCATAGGGAGCTCCACCTGAGGGCCCCATGGCGCGATTTGCGCATGGCCGCGCCGCCTCATTTTGGCACACCCTTCGCACGCTTCGTGACCCCATAGGGAGTCGCACCTGAGGTCCCACTGTTTGGCCCCGCGCCACGGACGACCCGCGCGCGTCGCTGGGACCCTCGCGGGGCGACCAGCATGTGGCGGGAACTCCGCGAGGCGCTCTGCCCAGCGCCGCGCTCGCCCGTCGTCGCTGTGCCCAGCGGCTAGACCCTTGCCCGCCATCAGCCAGCCAGCTAGCCTTCTTTAATCCGCGCCGCGGATGACCCGCGCGCGTCGCTGGGACCTTCGTGGGGCGACCAGCGCGCATCGCGGGAAGTCCGCGCGGCGCTCTGCCCAGCGCCTTGGTCGCCCGTCGTCGCTCTGCCCAGCGGCTGGATCCTTGCCCGCCAGCAGCCATCTAGCCCTCTCTGCTCCGCGAAGGGGACGACCCGCGCGCGTCGCTGTGACGCCTTCGGGGCGACCAGCGCGCATCGCGGGAACTCCGCGCGGCGCCCTGCGCTTGCAGCCTTGGACCTTGGAGCGCAGGGGCAAAGAGGAAGAAACACAAGGGAAGGAAACGGGTGCGATCCTCGTGAGGGGCGCGCCGACGTGTGCGTCGCCGCTCGCGGGCGCTGTCATGGGGGTTTCCGGGGTTTCCCTGTGGCAGCCACGCTCAGTGCCACGAATACTCAGAGCAAGACATACTCAAATCGTTCACAACCATATACATGTACACTAGGTGCAGTCATGCTCGCGTTCACGCACATGGATTCATTCGCACGCAGACTCTTTCACAATCAGACTCATTCGCGCTCAGACTCGCACGCGGACTCATTCACAATCAGTCTCTTGTAGTCAGACCTATCGTATACGCTCGCGTTGTGTATCACGCCACACATGATGGCACGCTCCTCATGCGGTTCGTGGCACCGTAGGGAACGCCACCGAAGATGGTATTCACATTTGCGATACTCACAACTACATTTGGCTGGGTCCTTCGCCAGGCTAAGTATTCGGCGTTTCGGCATTGGGCGGAAGTGGGGGTGGAGGGGGGGGGTCTGCCACTGGACCCGTGCTCAGTGCGACTGTTTAACGCCGTGCGTCCTGTAGAGGAGACCCCACCTGCCCGAAACGGGCGCCAAAAACAGCCAACATCTACTCCGTAGGGGGGGAGTGAGGGCCCGCACCGATCGGCAAAACAATGAGTAAGAAAACGACGATTCCCATCGAACTTGCGAAAACAGCGAAAATGACACCTGGCTCTCTCGGGGGCGCGGGTCCCGACTGCCGGGTAAGCGGACATGGAGGCTGCGGGGGTGAGACCAACGTCAACCAGGGGCACCCGAACGGCCCCCCCTTTGGTTCGTGCGTGCGCGCGGGCTGAGAAAAGGCATACAGGGCCTGTTGTCGCCGATGCGCCTGCCAGCCGGGCTGGGGACCAACACGTTGGGAAGGGCAGTGGTCACACGGGAGCCGTAGTGAAAGTAAGGCAGCCGTTCATGCTTGTGTTCTTTCTCGCGCTGGCCAGGTACGCTGGACACTAACGTTGTACAGGCGCATTCGGGAGCAGAGGCAAGATGGAAACAAAGCCGCGCGCAGCGTGGTTGACCAGCGAGAAGGCACGGTAAGACCTGAGTTTCCTAGCATTTGCTTGCTTTGCTCAGGCGATGTGCGCTCCAAACGAGCTGGCTCGCTGGAGGGAGCTTCCTGGGGACACTGCTGCTTCGGAAACGCCTAGGAGTTATAGTCAGCACCGGCAGTCCCCGGCTGAATCTGGTTTCATCTGAGTGCACGGCCCCCTGGTCGGGCTTCGTAGCTTCACCGGTCTTGCCAAGACCTCCCTGGAGGTGCCTCCCGACGCTGGTCACGCGGTGTGCCAAGCACGTGGAGGTGGCACTGTCGGAGTTAGCGCGTCATGGCAGCCACGGTGGCCACGCGAGGCGTGCGCCACGAGCGAGCCAGCGCGCTCGGAGTGGGCTTCCTTGCGGGGCTGGCGCGCCTGCAGCACAGTGGCAGTGCCACGGCTGGTGGGAGTGAGCGGGCCCGTTCGGAGTGAGCCTCGTCGCAGCTGCGCTTGAGACGCGACGTGCGCTGCAAGCCGGCTGGCGCGCTCGGATTGAGTTTCCTGGACTGCTTCCTGACCGCAGCGCGATCGCCGCGGGGAGCGAGCGGGTATCCCTGGAGTGAGCTTTCTGATGAGCTTCCTGGCAACACCGTGGATGACAGCGATGTCTGCCGTAGGCAAGCGGGCACGCTCGGAGTGAGCATCTGGCCCGCCTCCCTGCACCGGTATTGGAAGCGCGACGGCTGCTGGACACGCGTGCAGCACGTCTATCGGCACAACATCAGGCGACGCGGTGTGCGCCACACGCCAGCGGGCACGGCGCGTGCTGGCAACAGCGTTGGCAACGAGCTGGGTGTTGGGGCGCTAGCGGGCGCGCTCCGAGTGCGCGTCCTGGCTGATGTTCGGACTACGACGCTGGTAGCACGATGGCTGCTGGGAGCGGGTCGGCACGCGTCAAGCGAGCCTCCTGGCAAGCGGCTCTTGGCAACAGTGCAGCGCTGGCGGCGCGGCGTGCCACGGCCACGAGCTGCAGCGCTTGGCGTGAGCCTCCTGGCAGCTGCGCTGGCCAAGGTGAATGACCATAGACGAGAAGGACACCTCTTGTGAGAGGGAGAAACAGAGGTAGAGAGAGAGAGAGATAACAAAAAAAACAAACATAGCAAGAGAGAGAGAGACATATCGGTCACAACAGAAGCGAGATAGAGAGAGAGAGAGAGAAAGAAAGAAAGAACGACAACGTGAGAGAATGAGGGGAAAGACAGACAGTGCGAAAGAGAGAGGCAGAAACAGAGAGACAGAGAGACAGAGAGACACAGAGACAGACACAGACAGACCGACAGACAGACAGACAGACAGACATAGACATATATATATATATATACATATTGTCAGACAGACAGACAGACAGACAGACAGACAGACGGAGGGGGGGGAGAGAGAGAGAGAGAGAGAGAGAGAGAGAGACAGAGAGAGAAAGAGAGAGAGAGAGGGAGAGAGCGTAGTGGGGCAGGAACGGATGGG